TCCCTCCTGAACTCCATTTTTGCACTAAGGAGTTGCACCTGGTTCCATTGTCAGAGGTACCATTTACTTCTCAGACCTCCTAACTGATATCCACGTTCAGGGAGTCTGGGTTGGTCATCCCATGCTGGTTTCCCATCTATCAGTCTGGGATCCATAAGCTCCCCCTTGTTCAGGTCAGCTGTTTCTGTGGGTTGCTCCAGCCTGGTCTTGACCCCTTTGCTCATCACTCCTTCCTCTCTGCAACTGGATTCCAGGAGTTCAGCTCAGTGTTTAGCTGGTGGTATCTGCCTCTGCTTCCATCAGCTACTAGATGAGGGCTCTAGGATGGCATGTAAGGTAGTCATCAATCTCATTATCGGGGAAGGGCATTTAAGGTAGCCTCTTCACTATTGCTTGGGTCATCCTTGTAGATCTATGGACATTTCCTTAGTGCCAGATTTCTCTGTAAACCTATAATGGTTCCTCTGTTAAGGTATCTCTTTTCTTGCTCTCTATTTTTTCCCTGACTCAATCTCCCTGCTCCCTCATGTTCTCCTTTTCTCTCCTCCTCTTCTCTTTCTCCTGACTCCCTCTCCCCCCTGCTCCCAATTTTCTCAGGGGATCTTGTCCCTTTCCCATTCTGTGAGGAACCATGCATGTCTCTCTTAGGGTCCTCCTTGTTTCCTAACTTCTCTGGCGGTGTGGATTGTAGGCTGGTGATCCTTTGCTCTATGTCTAAAATCCGTATATGAGTGAGTACATACCATGTTTGTCTTTTTTGACTAGGTTACCTCACTCAAAAGGGTTTCTTCTAGTTCCATCCATTTGCTGCCTTCGAATTTCAGGATTACAGAGTAGTACTCCATTGTGTAAAAATGTACCACATTTTCTTTATCCATTCTTCAGTTGAAGGGCATCTAGGTTGCTTCCAGGTTCTGGCTATTACAAATAATACTGCTATGAACATAGTTGAACAGATTTTCTTATTATGTGAATGTGCATCTTTTGGGTATATGCCTAAGAGTGGAATTGCTGGATCTTGTGCTAGACTGATTCCCGTTTTCCTGAAGAGCTGCCATACTGATTTCCGAAGTGGCTGTACAAGTTTGCACTCCCACTGGCAGTGGAGGAGTGTGCCCCTTTCTCCACATCCTCTCTAACATAAACTGTCATTGGTGGTTTTGATTTTAGCTATTCTGATAGGAGTAAGATGGTATCAGAGTTATTTTGATTTGCATTTTCCTGCTGGCTAAGTATGTTGAGCACTTTCTAAGTGTCTTTCAGACATTTTGGATTACTATGTTGAGAATTCTCTAGTTCTATATGCCAATTTTTAATTGGATTATTTGGTGTTTTGGTGACTAGCTTCTTGAGTTCTTTGTATATTTTGGAGATCAGCCCTCTGTCAGATGTACGATTGGTGAAGATCTTTTCCCATTCTCTGGGCTGCCTTTTTGTCTTGTTGACTGTGCCCTGTGCCTTACAGAAGCCTCTCAGTTTCAGAAGATCCCATTTATTAATTGTCTGTCACAGCATCTGTGCTACTGGTGTTATGTTCAGGAAGCAGTCTTCTGCTCGCTCAAGGGTACCTCCAACTTTCTCTTTTAAGAGGTTCAGTGTGACTGGATTTATGTTGAGGTCTTTGATCCATTTGGACTGAAGTTTTGTGCATGGTGATAGATATGGATCTATTTGCAGTCTTCTGCACACCAGTATCCAGTTGTACCAGCACCATTTGTTGAAGATGCTTTATTTTTTTTTTTTCATTGTATAATTTTAAACTCTTCGTCAAAAACCAGGTGTTCGTAGGTGTTTGGGTTAATATCAGGGTTTTCCATTAGATTCCATTGGTCTACCTGTATCTTTTTTGTGCCAAAACCAAGCTGTTTTCAGGACTATAGCTCTATAGTAGAGCTTGAAGTCAGGGATGGTGATGCCTCTGGAAGTTCCTTTATTGTACAGGGTTGTTTTGTCTATCCTGGGCCTTTTGTTTTTCTATATAAAGTTGAGTATTGTCCTTTCAAGGTCTGTGAATAATTGTGTTGGGATTTCATTGAGGATTACATTGAATCTGAGGATTGTATTGAATCTGTGGATTGCTGTTGATCCTGCCTATCCATGAGCATGGGAGAGCTTTCTATTTTCTGGTATCTTCTTTAATTTCTTTCTTCAAAGACTCAAAGTTCTTGCTACACAGGTCTTTCACTTGTTTGGTTATCTTTACCCAAAGATATTTTATGTTGTTTGTGGATATTGTAAAGGGTGATGTTTCTCTGACTTCTTGTCAGGCCCTTTGTCTTCTGTATATAGTAGGGCTAGTTAATCTTGTATTCGGCCACTTTCCTGAAGGTGTTTATCAGCTGTAGGACTTCCCTGGTAGAGTTTTTTGGGTCACTTATGTAAACTATCATATCATCTGCAAGTAGTGAAAGTTTGACTTCTTCCTTTCCTATTTGTATCCCCTTGATCTTCTTTTGTTGTCTTATCACTTTAGCTAGAACTTCAAGTACAGTATTGAAGAGATATGGAGAGAGTGGGCCTTTTCAGAATCTAGTGAGTTGATCTTGTGGTTTTTCTTTTTTAGTTTGTTTATATGGTGGATATTGATAGATTTTTGTATGTTGAACCATCCCTGCTTTCCTGGGATGAAGCCTACATGGTCATGGTGGATGAGTGCTCTGATGTGTTCTTGGATTCTGTTTGCAGTATTTTATTGAGTATTTTTACATCGATGTTCATGAGGGATATTAGTTTGTAGTTAGTTGTGTCTTTGTGTGGCTTGGGTACCAAGGTAATTGTAGCCTCGTAAAAAGAGTTTGGCAATGACCCTTCTGTTTCTGTTGTGTGGAACAATTTGAGGAATATTGGTATTAGCTTTTCTTTGAATTTTCTGCACTGAAGTCATGTGGCCTTGGGCTGGCTTTGGTTGGTAGACTTTTGATGACTGCTTCTATTTCATTAGGGGTTATAGGTCCATTTAAATTGCTTATCTGTTCTTGATTTAAGTGATATCTATCGAGAAATTTTTCCATTTCCTTTGAGTTTTTGAATTTTGTGGAGTACAGGTTTTCAAAATTTGCTTCTTTTTGTTCTAGAACTTTCAGTTGTGCTGTTAATTCTCTAATGTGACTATCCTCCATTTTCTTCATGTGGGCACTTATTGCAAGGAACTTTCCTCTTAGTACTGCTTTCAAAGTGTTCCATAAGTTTGGATATGTTGTGTCTTCATTCTTGTTAAATTCTAGGAAGTCTTTAATTTTTTTTTCTTTATTTCTTCCTTGACCCAGACATGGTGCAATTGTGCACTGTTCAGTTTCCATGAGTTTGTAGGGTTTCTGCAATTTGTGTTGTTGAATTCCAACTTTAAAGCATGGTGGTCTAATAAGATACAGGGGGCTATTCCAATTTGTTTGTATCTGTTGAGGTTTGCTATGTTGCCTAGTATGTGCTGGATTTTAGAGGTTTCATGTGGAGCTGAGAAGGTATATTTTTTGTATGTTTTGGATGGAATGTTCTATAGATGTCTATTAAACCCAATTGGGTCATAACTTCTGTTAGTTCCTTTGTTTCTTTGATAAGTTTCTGTCTGATGGTCTTGTCTAGTGGTGAGAGTGGGGTGTTGAAGTCTCCCACTACAAGTGTGTGAGGTTTTATGTGAGATTTGAGTTTTAGTAATGTTTCTTTTACGAATGTGGGTGCCTTTGTATTTGGGGCATAGATAGATGTCCAGAATTGAGACTTTGTCCTGATGGATTGTTTTTTGTTTTGTTTTGTTTTTTCTGTGATGAATATGAAATAAACTTCATCTCTTTTAACTGATTTTACATTGAAGTCTAATTTGTTAGCTATTAGGATAGCTATACCCGCTTGTTTCTTGTGTCCATTTGATTGGAAAATCTTTTCTCAACCCTTTACTCTGTCATTGAAGTTGAGGTATATTTCTTGTATGCAGCAGGATGGATTCTGTCTTCATAGTCATTCTGCTGATCTGTGTCCTTTTTATAGGTGAGTTAAGACAATTAATATTGAGGGAATTAAGAACCATTGCTTGTTAATTCTTGTTTGTTTTGGATTTGTTGGTAGTGGTGATATTGTGAGTAGATTTATCCCTCTTTTGGCTTCTGGTAAAGTGGGGTTATCTATTGCCTACAACTTTGTGAGTGTAGTTAACCCTGGGGTTGGAGTTTTCCTTCCAGAACTTTCTGTAGGGCTGGATTTGTGGATATGTATTGTGTAAATCTGGTTTTACCATGGAATATCTTGTTTTCTCAGTTTATAGTGATTGAGAGTTTTGCTTGGTATAGTAGTCTGGGCTGGCATCCGTGGTCTCTTAGTGTTTGTAGAACATCTATCCAGGACTTTCTGGCCTTCAGAGTTTTCATGGAGAAGTCAGGTGTAATTCTGATAGGTCTGCCTTTATATGCTACCTGTACTTTTTCCTTTGCAGCTCTTAATATTCTTTCTTTATTCTGTATGTATGTTTGGTGTTTTGATCATTGTGTGCAGAGGGGATATTTTTTGTGGTTTACTCTCTTTGGTGTTCTGTAAGCTTCTTGTACTTTCATGGTGTGTCTGTCTTTAGTTTGTGAATGTTTTCTTCTAGGATTTTGTTGAATGTATTTTCTGCACCTTTAATTGGCTACATAGAGACCCTGTCTCAAAACAACAACAAAAAAAAAAAAGAAAGAAAAAAAAGAAAAAAGAAAAAAAAGAAAAAAGAAAAATCCATTTGCTGCTGTTACAGAGAACCAGTTTGTTTCCCAGCACTCACATGGCAACTGTCTGTATCCCGCGCCAGGGTTCCGAAGCTGCCATCTAGCTGTCTCAGGCACTGCACTCAATGTGCTGCTCTTAAATACTTGCAAGGCAAAGCACTCATAACACATAAAATAAAAAGCGAAACTTGAAACAAATGTTTGTGGGTTATATTTTATTTGGAGTTCTAGTTTCACAGAGGAAAGAATTTGGAATTAGCAGTTTTGGCCTTGGCGTTTCTAAGAGACCTTGAAATGTTTTCACAGGTGATGATGAGCAGTCTACACAAATGGCTGCAAGCTGGGAAGATGAGAAAGTGGCAGAAGCATCTTCAAACAATTTTGTTGCTATTAAAATTGATACCAAAAGGTATGCTTATGCTTCAATGTTTCACTGCTTTTTTGTTTTGTAGTCATGATCTTCTGTTATTTATGATGATACTGTTAGACTATTAAGAATGCCAATTTTATGGGCACAGATATCTAAACTGGATATACTGGAAACTTAAATTATTTTTAATTGTTTTGAGTGTGCCACCACAGCCAGTTAAGGGAATTTAATTTTGCGGGGAGGGGAGTGGTTTCCAGACAGGATGTCTCTGTGTATCTTTGGAGCCTTACCTAGAACTGGCTCTGTAGATCAGGCTGGCCTCAAACTCACAGAGATCCACCTGCCTCTGCCTCCCGAGTGCTGGAATTAAAGGCATGCACCACCACCACCAGATAAATTATTTCATTATGATTGATATTTAAACTTTATTATAAATAATACGCAAATCAAAATTAATATTTTCACAGGAACTTAATTTCTTGTTGCCATTTTCAAATTCATTGTTACACCTTGCTAAAAAAAAAATTTCAAGTTTCTCTTGAAACATGAATGTAGCATGTAACAAACAATATGATTTTGAGACTATCAAAATGGATCAGGGGTAAAGGCACTTGTCATGAAGCCTGAAAACCTAAGTTCAATCCCCATATCACACATGGTGGAAAGAGAGGACTAACTTCCACAAGTTATCCTCTGGCTTACACTTGCAAGCCATGGTGTGCACATGCCTATGTACACGTGTACACACACCACACTGCATAAGTAAATGAATGTAAAAAAAAATTACTGTCCTGAAAAGATTTGTAGTGTCTAGGTTGGAAAACCTTGGAAGTAACTATAAAGCTTCTGTTGAATCTCTCTGCAACAAGTGGTTTTCCATATCTTTTGGAATCTCTTTTGGGAATGGAGCCATTTAATTTGAAAGGAATGAGGAGATAGTTCACTGAGTAAAGTCATTGGCGCCAAACCTGATGACCCGAGTTTGATCCCCAGAACTCACTCACATGCCTGAAATAGAGAACTGACTCCTATAAATTATCCTCTGATCCCCACATATGCACCATGGAGTGTGTACTCACATGAGTGAGTGTGTGCACAGACACTTATAAAGAAATAAGTCACCGGAGGCAGATGCAGGCGAATCTCTGTGAGTTGAAGGCCAGCCTGATCTACAGAGAGAGTTCCAGGACAAAAAGTAGCATAAAGCAAACCTGTTTTGTAGTTATTAAACTATACAGCTTATGTTTTATTTTGTCAGTTTTTATTTGTGTATGTATGTGCCTGCTTGAGTCTATGTATTTGGTCCACGTGTACTCAGTGTCTGGAGGCCAGAAAGGGGTCTCACGTCCTCTGAAAGTGGAGTTAGAAGTGTCTATGAGCTAGCTACTTGATGTGGGTGCTGGCATCTAACTGGAGTCTTCTGGAAGAACAGCAAGCTCTCTTAATTGCTAAGCTATCTCTCCAGCCTGTTGTTTTTGGTTTTTAGCAGTACCTGGGAATTATGGGATTACTCCCTTTGTTCAGTATCTAGTTAATACTATTCTTAAAAAGTCTCTCTTATTCCTGACTGTATGTGTGTGAATCCGTGTTTGTTTTGCTAGTGACTGAATTGAGGAATGATGCATGCTAGGCATATGCTTTACTGTTATCTGAGCCCTCTCTCCCATCCATGACCACCAAGCTCTTTACTGGTGTTACATAAGTCATTAAAATATGTTTCCCACTTTTAAATTTAATTATTTTACTGTAGGGGTAAGGGACACATGTGTAATAGCACATACATGGACACCTTGGTGGGGTTGGTTCTCTTCCACCTTCCTATAGGGTCTGGAGATTTAACACAGGTTGCCAGACTTGTCCAGCAGCTAGCTGCCTTACCCAGTGAACCATCTCACTGGTCCTCTGACTTTCTATACCCTTTCCCCATTAATTTAGACAGTTTGTCTTGATGGATATTTAGGATGTTTTAATCCTTGTCATTCTAGAGTATTATGTCACTGTATCTTGTTACAGGTTAAGATTTTTTTGCATGTATGTCTATGCACCATGTGCATCCAGTGCCCAAGGGGCCCAGAAAAGGGTGTTAGATCATCTGGAACTGGAGCTACAGATGGTTGTGAGCTACCATGTGGGTGCTAGAAGTCAAACCTAGTCCTCTAGAAGAGCAGCCCATGCTCTTAACCACTGAGCCATCTTTCTAGCCCCCAAGATTTTTTTATTTAGGTATATTTGCTATTAAGGAAGCAACATGAGATTACTTTTTTCCCTGAGATGGGTTCTTACTTGTAGTTCTAGCTGTCCTGGAACTTACTATATAGATGAGACTGACCTTGAACTCATAAAAATCCTTCTACCTCTGCCTCCCTGGCACTGGGATTAAAGGCAAATGCCACCATACCCATCAAGATAGACATTTTTAACTTGTAAACCTAGCCACCACTGTGGGTGCTATCAGAAGAAAGGATTGTTCACAGCTAAACACTGAGCCAAACTCCTGGAATCCAGTTGCAGAGAGGGAGGAATGATGAACAAAGGGGTCAAGACCAGGCTGGAGAAACCCATAGAAACAGCTGACCTGAACAAGGGGGAGCTCATGCATCCCAGTCTGATAGCTGAGAAACCAGCATAGAATTGACCCAAAACCCCTGAACTTGGGTGTTAGTTAGGAGGACTGGGCAGTCTGTGGGGCCTCTGGTAGTGAACCAGTATTTATCCCTAGTATACGAATGGACTTCAGGAACCCATTCCACATAGAGGGATACTCTCTCAGTCTAGACACATAGGGGAGGGCCTAGGCCCTGCTCAAATGATATGACAGACTTTGAAGATCTCCATGGAAGGCCTTACCCTCCCGTGGGGAGCAGAAAGGAGATGGGATGGGGGTTGGGGGAGACAGGGGAGGAGGAGAGGGTGAGGGAACTGGGATTGACATTTAAAACAAGCTTATTTCAAATTTAAATAAAAAAAAACTATCAATAAAAGAAGAGATTTTTTGATCTGAAAATTATAAAACAATTAAAAAGCACAAAAATGTTTTGTGAAATAAAATTCATATTTCTTTCCAGCCTATTCCTGTGACAACAACTAGTAATTTTGAATTTTTAAAATATACTTAGGATTGTGCTGATAAATTTAATGAAAGCAACCCAGTATTTGGAAAACAGTTGAATTCATGTTTTGATTTTTTTTTTTTTTTTTTTTTTTTTTTTTACAGTGAAGCCTGTCTGCAGTTTTCACAAATTTGTATCCTTTCACTGAAGATTTGGTTTCATATATATTATATTTGCTTTTCTCTTTTTAATTAAAACTTTAAGAATTAGTTTAATTTAGGAAAACTTAAACCTTTTGGTAGCAGCAATGTTGCAGTTTTTTGAGGTAATATATTATGGCTAATGGCAAACTAGATGTTTTTCTTTTTTTATTTTATGTGCATTGATGTTTTGCCTGCATGTTATGTCTGGGGTGAGGATGTCAAGTCCCCTGAACTGGACTTTGAGACAGCTGTCATGTGGGTGCTGGGAATTGAACCCAGGTCTTCTGGAGGAGCAGTCAGTGCTCTTAACCGCTAAGCCATCTCTCCAGCCCTGATGTTTTTCTCTTTTAATGTGAATATTTGAAGAGCAGTGTGGAGTACTTTGGTTGAAATGTTAAAAGTAGGAGGCAAGAGGCAAAATAGATACAATGGTGTAGGAGAATGAAATGTATTTTTCACTCTGATAGGCTATATGAACCATAAATCTTTTACATATCACATACACTCGGGACATGATATGGTAATTGAGGTGAGAAACATGTTAGCTAGTATATTGTGAAATCTACTAAGATGATGTGTTGTGTTTTGTTACAGTGTTTTGTAAGACTTGTTGATTCAAGCATCAATTATTAGACTTAATTAACCTGTGCAGACCCTGTAGTGTGTGTCCCGTCCAGTTTCTTCATAGGAGACAGCGGAGTCCCTTTGGAAGTAATAGCAGGGAGTGTTTCTGCAGATGAACTTGTTACAAGAATTCACAAAGTCCGACAAGTAAGAAGGAGCCACAACAGTTTTGGGGGGTGGGAGGTTTCGAGACAGGATTTCTCTCTGTGTAGCCCTGGCTGTCCCTGAACGGCTTTATAGACCAGGTGGTCTTAAACTCAGAGATCCACCTGTCTCTGACTCCTCAGTGCTTGGATTAAAGGTGTGCGCTACCGCCCTGGCTACTTTCTTTGGTTCTTTTTGTTTTGAGTTGGTTACTTTTTTGTTTCGTTTAAGATTTTATTTTTAATCCTCAGCCCTTTAGGTTTTTTTTTTTTCTTATTCTGGCTTTGATTTTATTAATTGTTAATGGATCTATTTAAATTGTTTATATCTTCTTGATATTTGCTAGGTCATAGTTGTACAGGGAAATACCCATTCTGTCTATATTTTTCAGTTTTATTTATATTCATTTTATTATTTATTTATTTTGGTTTTTCGTCGCAGGATTTCCTGTTTAGCCCTGTTTGTCCTGGAACTCACTTTGTAGACCTGTCTGATCTCAAACTCAGAGATCCACATGCCTCTGCCTACTGAGTGCTGGGATCAAAGACATGTGCCACCTTGCCTGGTGATTTTCCAGTTTTAAAGACAATGTATTATATTTTCTTTGTGTGTATATATGACTGGTTGTGTGTATGTGCATTGTGTGCCTCAGGTGCTCCAGTTGGTCAGAGGGCATTGGATTCCTTGGAACTAGATTGTAGGTGGTTGTGATCATCTGATATGAGTGACCCAGATCTTCACCAGAGCAGCAAGTGCTGTTAACTTATAAGCCATCTCTCCAGCCCCAGAGATTTTCCAGTTTTTTTTTTAAATAAATCTTTATTTTTCTGTATTTTGTTGAGCTCTATAGTAACCTTCCCCTTTGCATTAAATATTCCTAATTTGGGTCATCTTTTTCTGTTACATTAGTTGGCTAGGGTTTTGTTAATCTTTCTGTTTTGGTTTGGTTTTCAAGACAGGGTTTCTCTGTGTGGCTGTCTAACTTTGTAGATCAGGCTGGCATCAAACTCAGAGAGATCCGATTGCCTCTGCCTCCCGAGTATGGGATTAAAGGCATGCACCACCATGCCCAGACAAATTTCATCCTTATTATTTCTTGTTATCTACTGTTTCAAGATTTGGATTGCTCACGTGTTTCTGTTGAGAAGGTCACTCTGCTTTAAAACCTTTTATGGCCTGGAGAAATAGCTCATTCTCCCCCCCCCCCCAGTACTGAAGAAGGAAAATTGTGCTCTGGCCAGCTTGTAATTGAATTCCATAATGTGATTTGTTTTGAGGGAAGGTCTCTGTATAGCCTTGGTTGTCCTGGAACTTGCTATGTAGACCAGAATGACTTTGAACCTACAAAGATCCACTTGCCTCTGCCTGGGATTAAAGGCTGGTAGGCTCCCATGTTCAATAAGGTTTTGTTTGTTTGTTTGTTTGTTTAGTTTTGTTTTGGCTAAGATTCTGCATTTTCAATTTGTCTTACTGAGGGTTTAGTATTTCTACTCTGTGTGTGTATGTATGTGTATTGATGAGTCATCTACCATTTCTTTTCTCCCAAGATGCACTCATCAAAAGGTGAAACATTAGTGACAAATGACAACCAGTCAGAAAGTTCAGTATCTACCCCGTCAGCCTCATTTGAACCTAATGACGTATGTGAAACTACTAAGTCCAGGAATGCAGAGCTTTGTGAGACACCGGCCACTTCTGACACAAAGTTGGATACTGCAACAGGTACAGGCAGAGTATTCCTTCACTTCATACTTAGGACATGCATTAGTCCTTAGTAGCATCCCTGACAGAATGTCAAGCCTTTTAAATGCAGTTACACCCTGATAAACCCATCCAAGCATTAGGACTTAGCTTAGCTGCTGGAGTGCATATCTGGCATTCCATCAGGCCTAGTAGTGCATTTCTGTCATCATAGTATTCAAGAGACAAAATTAACAGATGATTTATACCTTTTTCAGTTACATTATATGCAGTTTTTGTTACGTTTTGTTTTGTTTTAAATAATTAAGGAGGAGAATGCTCAGGTCATGACAACCCCTCCCAGGAGCCTCATGGCTGTTCAAACCAGAGACAAGCAGAGGATCTCACTGTCAGAGTGGAAAGGTTTGTTTTTAATTTTGTACATAGCATTTTTAAAAAATTATAGTTTCCTGTTATTTTGTTAACTTGAATGAAAGTTAATACAAACTAGGATATAGCTTTTCTGTATCTGAAGCTGTCAGTCAGCTATAGATCTGAACATTTGGTTTAGGAGTCCCTTTTGGTACATGCATGTGTGTCCATCTGTCACTTTCTTTTTAATCTCTTTATGCCAAAAGAATAACAAGCTCCAGATGAACAAAAACTCAGCTCATGATATGCATTTGTACTAAGCTGGGGTTCTGCATAACTACTAAGTGTCATTATTTTATTGGTTGAACTAATAATAAACATCTCTGATTCGTTATAGTTTCTAGTTTAGAGTTTATAAAATGTGGTAACTATGAAATTTATTTTTTATGCTGTAATTAATAAATATGAGTTAATGGCTAATATTCCTAATCCCAACCTAAAACCTTTTAATATTATATGGGAATTAAAAATGCTTTTTAATTTTCCTTTAACTGGCTCAGCAGTGGTAGTGCACGCCTTTAATCCCAGCATTTGGGAGGCAGAGGCAGGCAGATCTTTGTGAGGTCAAGACCTGCATGAGCTAGTTCCAGGACAGCCTCCAAAGCCACAGGGAAACCCTGACTCAAAGGGGGAAAAAATTACTTTAAATGAAAAGCAATTTAATTAATTAAAATTTAGTTTACCCTTTTAATTATTTTAATCCCAGCACTCTGGAGGCATAGGCAGGCAAATATCTTGAGTTCAAGATCAGCCTGGTCTACAGAATGTGTTAGTTCCAGAACAGCTAGGGCTACACAGAGAAGCTCTGTCCGAGACTGAAGGCTGGTTCAGTGTTAGAATACTTAACATGAGGTCTACTTAAATCCTCAGCTCTGCAGAACAGTAGTAACAATAGTAATAATAAAATTACTTCAAAGGAATTAGTGTCTTCTTGGCCACTTGCAGCTGTAAATAGAGGTAGTTGTGAGCTTCAAGAAGTAGGCTACGGGAATCAAACTTTGGTCCTCAAACTTTTAAGTGCTAAGCTGTCTCTCCAGCTCAAATTTATATATTTTTTAAGCACTGTCAATCAGATAACTCATCAAAAAGTGAGAACTAACAGTAAATATAGGGTAAATAAAATACAGGGTTGGAAAGGGGCTTCAGATAGACTCCTGTGTATGGGTTCATGGATTTCTGTAGGGCCAGGCAATAGGCAAATAAACTGCTATACTTTCAGGAGTTGTTTTGGTTTCTGTATTTATTCCCCTTTATTTTAGCTAAGTAAAACTTGGTTGAGACAGTCTCGTATGTAGCCCTGGCCTCTGTCCCTAAAGCTGATGTCAAAGGTGTGCACCACCATGCCTGCTGCCCCTCCAGTGTACTCACTTCTTCCTGGTGTTTAGAATGACAGAATGTATCTTGGTGTTTTGTTTTTTAAACAGACTAACAAAGAAACTTGAAGAAAGAAGGGAAGAGAAAAGGAAGGAAGAAGGACAGGTACAGCTCACTCTGTTGCTTGAGGGGATTTTTGATTTGTTGTCCAATTTAGCAGACCTTGGGTGACAGACATCCTTAGAGCTCAGTGTTGTATTGAAGGGAAGGAAAGTATCTGTTTCTGCACTCTGGTTATACTTTATATATACACTTTAGGGTCTTGGTTATTGTTTGTTTGTCTGTCATGATTGCTATGCAATCCATTCTGGCCCCAAAATCTTATGGTTGCAGTGACTTACCATGTCCACCTGTTTATTTTCTTTTTACAAATTACCAAGAATAACTGAATAACCTTTTCCCCTCTGTGCATTGATCTTTTCATACCTTAGTATCTATAGGAAATTGATCTAAAATTTCTAGATTTTAGGAAAATCAAATTTGTAGACATCTTCCTGATTTATCTAATGTTGCATTCTAGTGGACTCATCATCCTTCTCACAATAATTGTCCCCCATCTCTTTGAGGTCTCCATTAGATTGTCATTGTTTCTTCTCTCTTTTTTTAATTATCATTTTTTTTTTCAAGCCAAAAAATTGATTGCCATGTTGTCCTTGGAAGGTAACAGTTTGGCTGTAAAAACTAAAGACTTGTAATTTTGATTGGATACAGATTACACTGAGGACACTGTGCTCTAACAGAACCATTAAAAAATGTTTATAAGTTGATAGGCAGTTGATCGTTAATCATGCTTTCATTAAATTTTTTCTTAATATTTTATGTGTATCTGTTTTGCATGCATGCATATTTGTCACCACTTGCATACCTGGTACCTATTGAGTTAAGAAGAGGACACCAGGTCCTCTGGAACTGAAGTTACAGACAGTTGTGATGTGGATGCTGGGATCTAAGTCCTCAGGAAGAACACCTTGTGTGCTCTATAACCAAGTCATCTCTTCAGCTCCATTTTTACTTAATTTACTTATTTATCTTTTGGTTTTTCAAGATAGGATTTCTCTGTGTAGCCTTGGCTGTACTGACATTCGCTCTCTAGTCCAGGCTGGTCTTGAACTCACGAAGATGCACCTGCCTCTGCCTCCCGGTGCTGGGATTAAAGGTGTGCACCACCACCTGGCTTCTTCAGCTCCTTTTAAAAACATTACTTTTAGAGTGTGTGTGTGTGTGTGTGTGTGTGTGTGTGTGTGTGTGTGTGTGTGCATCACTAGCATACATGTGGAGATCAATGGACAACTTGCAGCAATGCATATTCTCTTTCCATTATGTGAGCTCATAGTGTAAACTTTGATGGCAGACACTTTCACTGACTGAGCCAGCTCATCTTCTGTGCTTTTAAGTGCCTTCTATAGTCAGCTTTCCTTACATCAAAATATTTATTCTGTGGAGCAGAAGATTGGATTATGGTTTTGGTTCATAAAACTTTTCTTTGATTCAGAGAGAAATTAAGAAGGAAATTGAAAGGAGGAAAACTGGGAAGGAAATGTTGGATTATAAAAGAAAACAAGAAGAGGAGTTAACAAAAAGAATGTTAGAAGAAAGAAGCAGAGAAAAGGCAGAAGACAGAGCGGCTCGAGAGCGCATCAAACAGCAGATAGCACTGGTAAGCTCTGTTGTGTCCATCCATCCATCCACTCGTGTTGACACAGCTTCTTCCTGTGCAGCCAATGGAAGCCCTGAACTTCTTGTAACTGATCCTGCTAAGTGCTGGAATTACAGAAGTGACATTTGTGATGCAGTTTCTTCATGTGGGCTTTTCAGTCATTCCCAAACAGTGCACACAGTAGCACATTTTAACTAAAAGAATATAAATCTGGGCTTCCTTTTTTAAAGGAATTGTGTATTGAATTGAAATAGTGAAAAAATTAATAGATAATTATTTTAATTTTTAATATTTTCCCCCACCTGGCTATTCCTCAAAAAATTTTTTTTAATTTTTTTCATAAGATTTATTTATTTCATATGTATGAGTGTTTTGCCCACACTGTATGTGTACCAGTTGAGTGCCTGGTGCCCTCAGAGGCTAGAAGAGGGTGTTAGATCCTCTGGGATGGCTAAGTCACCATGTTGGTGCTGAGAATGGAGTCTATACAACAATCCTCTGTAAGAGTGACAAGTGCTATAAATCATTGAGCCAGCTCTACCCCTGACCCCATCAGATTGCGTGCGCATGTGCGCGTGCGTGCATGCGTGCGTGTGAAATATTTGCATGTCAGAGGACAACTCTGTGGAGTCCTTTATCTGGGGCTAAAAACAAGGTCACCAGGCTCATACAGAAGTTGCTTTCGCCTTTGAATCCATCTCACTAGCCCAAGATAGGGATTTTTTGTTTTGTTTTGTTTTGGTGGTTTTGTTGTTTGTTTTTGATGTGTTTGTTTATTTAATTATATGTAGGTGTGTGTCTCTGCATGTGGACATATGCATGAGAGTGTAGGTATTCTCAGGAACCAGACATGTCCAATCCTCTGGGATTGGGAGTTACAGATGGTTGTGAGCGTCCTTACATGTGTGTTAGGAGCTGAGCTCAGGTCCTTTGGAAGACAGCAAGTGCCCTTAACCACTGAGCCTACCCAAACCTACCCATTTTAAAGTAGTTTTCTCAATGTCACTTTATTTTTTGAGACAGAGTCTCGCAGTATAACCCTGGCTGCACTGGAGCATGATATGTAGACCAGGCTGGCCTCAAACTCTTAGAGAGCTGCTAAGTACTGGGGTTAAAGGCATGTGCCACCCCACCCTGCCTATTATTAAGAATTTTCTAAGAAAGCACAGCTTTAAAAGATTGTCTAGCTGGGCATAGGGATTCATGCCTTTAACTCTGGCACTCAGTAGGCATGTGGATGGAGCTCTGTGAATCACAGGCCACTCAGAGCCAACAGTGAAACCCTGTCTGAATAAAAACAAAAACAAAAAAATCCCAAGAAAACAAAGAATTTGTTACTTTCTACAGGTCTTTATAAAAGACATTATTTTTGAGAGAGACAGAGAGAGTGCACTTAAAAAGATTTATGTACAATCCAAAGTTTGGGGTGGTTTTGCAGTAGTTCCTTTTCTTTTTTTACTTTTATTTTATGTGTGTAAGTGCTTTGCATATGTGTATGTATGTATGTATGCCACATACTTCCAGTGCTCACTGAGGCCAGAAGAGGGTGTTGGGTCTCCTGGGACTGGTGTTCAAAGGTTTGTTAGTTGCTACATGGGAACGTGTGTTGTCTGTAAGAACACTCAGTGCACTGAACTACTGAGCCATAAAAAGCCCTTCAGTTACTTTGTAGATTAAGCTATTGTATATGTATATGAATATTGTTTATTCATGTGGTCATTTTACAAACACTCGTAAATATGAACTTTGTGCCTGACTTTGTTCCTGGCTATGGAACCAGTTCAACTTCTTTTTTTTTTTGTAAAAACAATTCAGATTCTTGACAATTGCTAAATGAAGAAATCAAACAAAAATCCTCAAATCTTAAATGTGTAAAGTGTGCATGTGAACTTAAGGGATTCATGTGTTTAGAAATGTGTAGGTTCTAACAGAAGTAACATGTCTAATGGTGTTTTACTTGAAAGGATCGTGCAGAGAGAGCTGCTCGTTTTGCAAAGACAAAGGAAGTAGAAGCCGCCAAAGCTGCTGCCTTGCTAGCCAGACAACAGGCAGAAGCAGAAGTTAGGAGGGAGACTTCTGCTCGAGACAGAAGGTACTTCTTACTTTATTAAAGTCACCGTGAAATAGCCAGACATCTGCTGCTTAGTGTTTGTTTGTTTGTTTGTTTAGTTGCTTACTTACTATTTTGAGCAGAGTCCTTACATAGGCCAGTCTGGCCTTGCTCTCACCTGCCTCCTCCTCCATCTACTGGGTTTAAAGGCATGGGCCACCAAGCCCAGCTCCTGCTTAGGATTATGTGTTTTTTGATATTGGAACAATGGCTAACTTTCATAATCAAATAGTATCACTGGGTATGGTGATGCACGCCTTTAATCACAGCACTTGGGAGGCAAAGGCAGGCTGACCTCTGTGACTTGGGAGTTAGTCTGTTATATATAGTGAGTCCCAGGCCTGCCAGGGCTACATGGTAAGATCCTGTCTCAAAATGGTGAGATGGCTCATCACTTGACTGCTCACTGTGCAGTCATAAGGACCCTGCTCCACCAACGGAGCATATAAATTAAGTCTATCCCTCTTTTTGGGATTTCCATGGAATCCAGAAAGATGCTGTTAGTTGGATACCTTGAAGCTACAGTTAAGGCAGCTCACAACCCTGGCAGCTGGTACCAAACTCAGGTCCTCTGCAAGAGCAATGAGTTCTCTCAACTGCTGAGCCATTACAGAATTTTTAATCCTGAATTTTATTTATTTTTTTAAGTTTTTTTAGAAAGATTTTTTTAATTTGCTATATATGCAGCATTCTGCCCGCATGTAAGCCTGCAGGCTAGAAGAGGGCACCAGATCTCATTACAGATGGTTGTGAGCCACCATGTGGTTGCTGGGAATTTAACTCAGGACTTCTGGAAGAGCAGCCAGTGCTCTTAACCTCTGAGCCACCTCTCCAGCCCTAATCCTGAAATTGATAAGGAATTTGAGAAAATTCTTCAAAGTATATATTTAATAAGGAATTTATACCGGGGCTATAAAAATCATTTGTATAGTTCAACAATAAAAAGATAACTTGTATATGGGGAAAGGATTGAGATAGTTTTTTTTTTTTTTTCTAAAGAAGACATATAAATGGCCCATAAGCAAGCCAGATGTTAGGCATATGCCTATAATTCTAGTCGTTGGTAATCTCAATCAAGAACACAGAAACTTTGAGGGCCGCTTGTTGTATATGAAGTTCCAGACCAGCCTGAACTACACAGTAAAATTATCTTTTAAAAAAAAAAAAAGATTACATTTCATATCCCCTAGGATAACTCTGTTTTAATAGACAGTAACAGTTTGGCATGATTGCACATGCCTTTAATCCTAGCATTCTGAAACAGAGGCAGACTGATCTCTCAAGGCCAGAATAGCAAGTGCTAGGCAGGGTCTGCATAATGAGACTGTCTCAATAAAATACTACATTAACAACAGTAACAAGTGTTGCTAAGGAGGTAGAGAATTTGGAGCCTCTCTGCATTATCAATGGGTTATAAAATGGTATAGCCATTTTCGGAAAACATTTGGCAGTTCTTCAGAATATTAAGCACTCACTCTTAGTTATATATCCAAGAGGATTGTCTTGGTTACGGTTATAATTACTGTAATGAAAAACCATGGCCAAAGCAATTTTTGGAGTAAAGGATTTACACTTCCACATCACAGTCCATCATCAGAGGAAGTCACCAGGGCAGGGACTTGGAGGCAGGAGCTAAAGCAGAGGTGCCTGGCTTGCTCAGTCAGCTTATAGGATCCAGCCCCACCTGCACACCCACGGATGGCACCCTCTACAATGGACTGAGTCCTCCTACACTGGTCACTAATTAAGAAAATTCCTTACAGTCATCTTATGGAGACATTTCCTCAATTGAGGCTCCCTTCTCTTTGATGACTTTAGCCGGTACAAGGATTGAAAATATGTCCACACAAAAACTTGTACATAAATACTCATGGTATTCAAAAAGCCAAAATGTGATCATAAATTTCATCAGTTTAAAAGAAGATTCAGCGATAAAAGAATAATGAACTGATAGAATGGTGGATGAATTTTGAAAACATAATGCTGTATGAAAGATCATATATAATATGATTCTTTTAAATGAAAGGTTCCAACCTAGGCAAATCAGTTAATGGCTGCTAGGTCCTGGGAGAGGAATGGGAGTGGTTACTAATAGGCTCAGGGTTATTTTAGAAAGTGATGATGAAATATTCTACTGTTAGTGAGATAGCTAATGGTTCTGATTATTGTTTTGTTTTGTTTTAAAAAAATTTTTTTTTAGGGGCTGGAAAGCTAGCTCAGAGGTTAAGAGCCCTGGCTGCTCTTCCAGGGGTCCTGAGTTCAATTTTCAGCAACTACATTGTGGCTTACAACCATCTGTAATGAGATCTGGTGCCCTCTTCTGACCTGCCGGGACACATGCAGATAGAACACTGTATACATAATAAATAAATCTTTAAAGGAATTTTTTTAACATTTATTTTGGGCCTGGGATGGGGTTGTGTGTGCCATGTTGTCAGTGGGAATTTAAAACAAGAATTTTTAGCAGTTAATTCTCTCCTTCCTCCACAGAGAGGTAGGCTCTTAGGATTGAGTTTAAGTCATCTCACCAGGCCCTTGTTTTGTTTCTGAGACAAGATTTCATTGGGTATGTAGCCCAGGCTTTCCTCTAACTTGGGATCCTCCTGTTTTAGCCTCTGAGTGACAAGGTTGACAGGGTTGCATGGCAAGAACTTTACCTGCTGAGTCGTCATGCCTGCCTGAAAATGTACATTTCTGCTTTCAACTGAATTTAAGGACAAAGAAAGAAAAAAGGAAAGGAAGGGAGAACTAACTATTTATGGGGGTGGGAGCAGCGTGCCATGGTCATGCATGGAGGTCAGGTGAGAGGGTAGGTGAGTCAGCCCCTCCATTCCACCATGAGCATCCAAGTCTTGTGGTCATGCTGGGGAGCAGGTGTCCTGACCAGCTCAGCGGCCCTCTGTCTGGTGGTTACTGACACTGCTGGAGAATCTAGGTGAAGATGCTGACTGCAGCTTGTTTCTTGTTTCTTTTTTCCATAGCACGGTTGCAAGAATTCAGTTCCGGCTGCCTGATGGCTCTTCCTTTACAAATCAGTTTCCTTCCGATGCTCCGTTAGAAGAAGCCAGGCAGTTTGCTGCACAGGTGAGTTCATAAAGACGTGTGGGTATTAAAATCTTTCAGGAGAAGCTCCAAAGCAGAACTTGAATTACAGGAAATAGCCTGAGATGGAGGGGGTTTTATTCCCCCTCCCCTTTTTTTTTTTTTTAGACAGAGTTTCTATATATCACCCTGGCTGACTTGGAACTCAAGATAAAAATAAGGCTGGACTTGAACTCACAGAGATCTGCCTGCCTCTGCTTCCCAAGTGCTGGGATCCACTTTTTTTTTTTTTTTTTTTTTTTTTGTTTCAAGCAGGGGCAGGAGGATCCTTATGAGTTCAGGATCAGCTTGGTCCATGTAACAAGTTCCAGGCCAGCCAGTCTGATGGTAACAGTGAGACCCTGAGACCCTCTTGGGCTCTGAATCCCTGAGTCTGAGATTATATGTTTGGTATGGTTCATTGACCATTTATATCTCTTAAAATTTATTACTTTTTATTTTATGTGCATTGATGTTTTGCCTGCACATATGTGGGTGAGGGTGTTAGATGCTCTGGAACTGGAATTACAGATAGTTGAGAGCTGTCAAGTGGGTGATGAGAAGTGAACCTGGGTCCTCAGGAAGAGCAGCCAGTTCTCTCTTGAGTTCGAGGTAACTCTCTTAAAGTTACATACAGGCATTCCATAGTAAAGGTAAGGTTTTAGTGCATACTGCTGTAGGAAAACTTTGCTCCCCGGTGCACATAAAATTATGTGTATACTCCACGATAGCTAAATCTGTACTAGTATTAGATCTGAAACAAAACAGAAAAGGATGGAGAGGTGTCAGTAGTTAGGAGCAGTAGGTGCTTTTACAGAGGACTGGGATTTGACTCCCAATACCTACATGCAGCTTGCAACCTGCATGTAGGAATGCCAGTCCTAGGGGATCAGACATCCTCTTCTGGCCTCTGTGAGTACCCATGACAGATAAAGTCAAAAAAGTTAAAAATAAATATGTTTAAAAAAATACCAAATGGAGTCCTGGCATGGTGGTGCATGCTTTTAATCCTAGCACTTGGGAGAAAGAAGCAGGCAGATCTTTTTGAGTTCAGAGCCAGCCTGATCTACATTGTGAGTCCCAGGACAGTCAGGACTAGAGAGACTCTGTCTTAAAACAAAACAAACAAACCAAATGTGATAGAGACATGGGTACCTGAAAGTAGCAGATGGTCCTGCTTGGCAGTCAAAATACAAAATAAGCTGAGATGTCCATCAAGATATGAAAAGACAAAGAAAGTGTGGTATATATATATAAAGCAAAATAAGCTAGGTAATTATTACAGTCTTTTTGTATGTTGAACCTAGGTTTTTATATACATTTGAGTGTGTACATAAAGTATGTAGACATAAAACATGCATGAAAATGGAAGGGGTACTACTGAGGTAAAGAAGGACTAGCCTGACTTGTGAGAGAGAAAAGGGTTAGTGGATATGAACTTGGACATGTTCTATAAAATACGGTGTCATAATTAAAACGCACTTTGTACACGAATCTAAAAACAAAAGAACATGTGCTGTTTGATCAGAAGGTGAAACAGGAAGAAAAATTATCAGTGACTAAAACCATTTGTCAGTGTTTGATAACTTGAGTTTGATTCCTAGATCACTAGAACCACTATGAAAGGAGACAACCCACACGCAAACATCACACACATTAGTCATAAATTAAGAAAAAACTGTTGAATTCTGAAATGGCTTTGCCTATATATTAAGGGATATTAAGGGAAATAATGGTCACTGGTTTTTTTTTTTTTTTTTAAATGTATTTGGAGACATGAGCTTAATGTGTGTGCCTAGCCATTTCAACTTCTTTATGAGAGATTCTGGTAACAGTCCAAGTGTGTGTTGGTGAGTCATTAGCCTGAGTTTTCCAAGTGCTAGTGAACTTCAGCTGCTGCTAGACTTGTTAAAGACACAGCAGCCACTTTGTAGCTTTTTTTTTTTTTTCCCCAGTACTGTGTGGGAGGTGGGGGAGACATGTGTGGGAATCAGAGGATCACCTGAAAAATCAGTTCTCTCCCTAGACACTAACTCAGGTTGTCAGGCATGGCAGCAAGCACTTCTAACCAGTGAGCTCTCCAGCCTGTCCACAGAAGAGAACTGCTCCCTCCCACACAGCCTCCATTTACCTGCAGCAGTTGGAATAAAGTAAGACAGTGGTCATATTTTAGGTGTTAAAAGCTTCTTTAAACCTTTTGGATTTGGTATGCCTCAACTTTTTTAAATTTTTTTTTTTTTCTTGCTAAGTGATTTTTAAATTTGTCTAATTGAACTTTGTAAATTAAGGCAACTTTAACTGTCATTCCAGAATCTAAAATGATGCATACAGTTGGTACCTTGTTTTTTAAAGGTTTAAAAATTCACTTCTCTGTTGCAGACTGTTGGCAACACCTATGGTAATTTTTCGCTAGCTACCATGTTTCCCAGGAGGGAGTTCACCAGGGAAGACTATAAGAGGAAGCTGCTGGATCTGGAGCTCGCCCCCAGTGCCTCTGTGGTGCTGCTGCCGGTACGCACACACTCCTGCGTTCTGCTCTTTGGGTTCTATTCTTGGTCATTAGACTTGGCAGAAGAGAAAAGGCTGTAGGTAATTAAAATACAGAGTAGCCAAATTAGATCAATTTATAATACATTTAGTCTGTGTTTTATAAATTTTCAGGCTAATGTTTTGTGAGGCTTTGAATTTTCAACTGTTAAATATGCAAAAATATTAACAGAAGAGCCGGATGGTGGTGGCTCACGCCTTTAATCCCAGCATTCGGGAGGCAGAGGCAGGCAGATCTCTGTGAGTTCCAGGCCAGCCTGGTTCACATAGTGAGTGCCAGGACAGGCTCCAAAACCACAAAGAAACCCTATCTCGGAAAAAAAAAAAAATCAACAGAAGAAAACAAATACTGAGTTGTTTTCTCTGTGAACTCTTAGCCTATGATTCTACTGTCTACCACATTAAAAATATATTTATAACATAAAGTTAACATTTAATTAAAGTATGACCTTTTGAGACAGGGTCTTATTGTGTCCAAGAGCTTACTGTATAGACTAAACTGGCCTTGAACTCGGAGATCATCCTGCCTCTGAGTGCCAGGACTAAAGTCGTGTGCCACCACATCCAGTAAATACAGCACTTTCATCTCTCCTAGAGAAAAGAGGCTCAGGAAGCTGAGATGTTGCCAAGGTGCTATCTGAAGTACCAACTGGGTCTTTATGTCCTGGGTCAGTGTAGTTTTCCCTGCTCTAAACCAGAGCTGCCATCAACTTGAAACCGCCCTGCAACCAGAATTTCATTGTGTTCACTGGATTTGAAATCTTAGACTTTTACTTATTTGTTTTTCTATTTTTTTTAACCTTTCTTTAATTAGTGAGACTTTTATTATCAAAGTTGTTAATTTTATTGCCAAAGATTGCTTTTCTTAAAAACAACTGGTTCACAGCTAGAGAGATGGCTTAGCAATTAAGAGAGGTGCTGCTCTCCTAGATGATACAGGTTAAGTTCCCTGCACACACACAGCAGCTCACAGCTGTCCAGTCCAGAGGATCTGATGTCCTCTTCTGATCTCCCTGGGCACCAGGCACACAAGTAGTACACATACATAACATAGACAAAGCATTAATACACATTAGGGTAAATCTTTTTTATTTATTCAGCCAAGTTTGGTGGCATACCATACCTTAAACAGGTGGATCTCTCTGAGTTGAAGGCCAGCCTGGTTCACATAGTGAATTCCAGGCAGTGTGTGTTACATTGTGAGATGGAGAGATGGCACTTTGTTTTTGCAGAGATCCCAGCTTTTGGTTTCTAGTGTCCACATGGTGGCTCTCAACTATCTGTAACTCCAGTTCCAGGGCATCTTGTGCCCTCTTCTTACCTCTGTGGGTTCATGCACACATTCGGTACACATACATGCATTAAACACACACACACACACACACATACAATTGCTTTTTTAAAAAGTAAAAACAAATAGGGCAGTGGTGGTGCACACGTTTAATCCCAGCACTTGGGAGGCAGAGGAAGGCGGACCTCAGTGAGTTCCAGGACAGCCATGACTACACAGAAAAACCCTGTTTTGGAAAAAAAAAAAAAAGAAAAGAAAAAATAGCCAGGTGTGGTGACAGAGACAGGCAAGGCAGATCTTTGTGAGTTCAAGACCAGTCTGGTGTACAGGGTGAATTCCAGGACAGCCAGAGCTACATAGTGAGAGCCATCTCGAAAAATGGAAAGAAACAAAGACAGCTCTAGTAGTCCCATGAGACCATGGGCACTTGGAAAGAGCAGTAAAAGACCTGGATTGAGACAGAGTCAGTAAGGAAAATCTCATTTCTGCATAGAAGAAACATGGAAAACCTAAGTGTGATTCGATTGTGCTGATGATAGTCTTTACTTGCTTGCTTACTTCTCTCTCTTTTTAATTTCTAGGCAGGACGGCCAGCCACATCCATTGTCCATTCTTCCAGTAGAGACATTTGGACATTACTGGGGACGGTGCTTTATCCATTCCTGGCCATATGGAGACTAATTAGCAATTTTTTATTTAGTAATCCTCCTCCTGCACAGACTTCAGCAAGAGCCACATCCACAGAGGCTTTAAACCCTACATCATCCAAAAAGTCAGAGAAAAGGTACATGTTCTCGCTTTCTCTATTGGTAAAATACCCAGGTCATGTGCAGTAGCTTACTCCTTGGTGCCAGAACTACTAATACAGGTTTTCCTCCCTGGTATGTAATGCCTTTCTTGCTAGCCAATATGTTGCCCTGGCTGGCATAGAACTTGTTATGTAGATCAGGTTAGCCTCACACTCACAGCCTCATCTGCTCCTCCCCTCCTTTCTGCTTCCCAAGTGTAGGGTTAAAGGTTTGTGCTGCCACACCTAGTCTTGTTGCTAGCTGTGTTTTGCCTAATACAGTACCATTGGTGACTTAACAGTCCTGCATAATTTCTCTACAGGAATCTGTGTATAGAGAATCTGATTTTTCTTTTATCTACCGGCTGATTTCCTTGTCTGGGTCACTCAGAAGAAAATCACACTGAAGAAAACTAGATACTCCGTTGATTTTGGTGCCTCTAAGCCAGACTAGTTAGGGCAATAGTAATTTCTGGCACTTGAGAGCCTGGTGGGCAGGCTGGTGAAGAGTGGGGATCATGAATTTTGAGTCCTTCCTAGGCAACACCGTGAAACCCTGAACCAAACGGAAAATGAAAAACAAAAGAAAAAGGGAAATGGTGCCTTTGACTTACTTTAATTCCTTAACCAAGAGGCCTTATTTTCATTGCAGATCAAACATTTGGTTTACTGACAGCTCTAGTCCATACTCTGATGGCATATTTATTCTAAGTAGGTTGACAGGAAGTGTTGTCCAGGTGATTTTCCTTGTTAAACTCGCACTCAGCATTTGTCTTGAAGGGGGTGAGGTGTTTGAGACAAATGGTTTCATAAAGCTCAGGCTGGCTTCTTAACTGTCTATGACTTTGAATTACTGGTCCTCTGACCTCCATATCCCAAGTACTGGAGTTACAATTGTTCCCCACTAAACTCCCACTTCTCTTGTGCCTATGATGGATGTTGTAGCAAATCTATCAGCCCTGGAAGCCATTGCTGTGCTGTCTGGAGAGACCTGGTCTGATGTTTCACTGACGGACTGGATGGTGATTTGTCTGAGTACTGCGATTAGCTGATAATGTCCTTTATCTTGAGTATTAGGCAACAAGTTCAGTAGCAACTTTAGTCCTACTAAAGAGTGGGTGGAAATATTTAATTCTGTAATTGCTATAGTATGCAATAGGATGTAGTGTGAACTGTTAAAACTTTTCTCAAGTGAGGAAGTGGGGCTTAGATTTGAGACAGGGTAGTGTTTATGTGAAAGGGTAAGGCTTTTTTATGTTCCATTTTTCGATTTTCTGTTAATAAAATTGTTTAAACTTGTGGCTGCAGCAGTGGCAACACACTCCTTAAATCCCCACACTTGGGAGGCAGAGGCAGGTAGATCTCTGTGAGTTTAAGGCCAGCCTGGTCTACAGAGTGAGTTCTCGGACAGTTATGGCTAGACAGAGAAATCCTGCCAAACAAATTCTTTAAACTTAGACTGTTTCCTTGCTGTTTGTTCTTTGTCATTGAGTCATTGGTTTTGAAAGGATTGCAAGTGACTGACCAGAGCAGCTGGAGCTTTGTATAGCTTTTAGGGTGGTCTGTAAGTTATGTCTTAGTATGTGTGTCAGCTTGTATGAAGTTTTTAAATTTAGTTAGCAAATGATCATATTCTGAAGTTTAAGTAAGTCATCAGGAAAAATGAATAATATGATTTGGCTGGTTTGACTTAGAAAGAACTGGGGAGATTAAATTATTAAAGACTAATATTGATTATTGCAAGAGATGCAGATATCGCCCATAGACTTCATTGTTGAGCTAAAAATATAGTTGACTATCCTACATCAGCAGAAATGTGAAGAAACAGCTTTGTATTGTTTGTATTTTATGTCACTTCTCCTCTTTTCCCTCTTTTTCGTATCAGGGAACCAGTCCGAAAAAGAGTGCTGGAAAAACGGGGGGAGGACTTTAAAAAGGAAGGGAAAATATACAGACTGAGGACTCAGGATGATGGCGAAGATGAGAACAACACTTGGAATGGAAACTCTACGCAGCAGATGTAGTATAGCGAGCACAGTGTGTACAATCATCACTGTTTCCCTTAGGATTCCATCCGCTAGACTTCTGCTGGAGAAGTGGGTCTGCTTATGTTTTCAGAACATGTATAGTCTTTATTTCTGCTTAGAGGTTATGAGTTAAAGCTGTTTAACCTGAAAAAGTCAAACATGAAACAGCTGGATGCTGGGTCTTTGTATAGGTAACCAGCTGCTCGCCCAGCCACCTACCAATTCCTACTCAAACTTTACAGCCCTCTAGCCTAATGTTTCATTTAGAATACTTTTTGCTGCAAGACTTTTAAGCCACATAACATAATTGGTATGTCACTGGGTAATCTGACCCTAGAGCACTTCAACTAGCTGATCAAGTGATAACCGATGTTTAGCATTTCTCTTTGCACTCACCAGCTGCAAACAAAATCTTGTAGTTTTTGGTCCTACTTAAACCTTGAATAAAAAGTTTTCCAAAAATGAGAATAATCTTATTTTTGCTGTGCATCTTTCTGTTGTGCAGGGCTGTGTCGAGGTCACTTTTGTCTGACTTTTCTCCTCCAGTGCTGCCCTGAAGATGTCAGCAAAATAGCTGGCTACCTTCCTTTCAAAAAAGAAAAATCCAGGGACTCTAGATCTTAATGGACTCCAGGTCTCAAGTGTCCTAGGTCACTGAGGCATTTGTTTTATAATCTGTTCTCATCGATGTGGAACAGATTAGTTTGCACACTCACGTTTGTACTAGTTTCACATTCAGTAATCACTTCTAGGACTCAAGTGTAGGATTAGAGTAGAGTGCAAAGACACAGCTTCCTGCACTGTGGAAGACATGCTCTAACTTACTGCTGCTTCCACCAAAAGTCAGAGAGATTTCAAACATGGGGTATGTATGACCATTCCTCTGTTCTTAGAGTGCCTGTGTGTCAGGGAAGCCTGACTGGGACTTGTGATAGGAGGAACTTTCTCCCATGTGGGTTAAGAGGCTTGTGAGACAGTAGTGCTGGTAGGAAGCATCTGAAAACATGCCCAGAACTTTAAATGTTCCATACTTTGACACAGTAACTTTTTCTAAGTAGTGATCATCATTGCAAACATTTAGCTATGTATGCACTTAATTAATAGCTAATTTCAAAACTGGAAACGGCTAAATGCCCTCTGTGGACATAATTTCTGTTGAGAAATGGTACATACAAATGCAACACTTGCCATGTTTACTATGTTTACTGAATGCCTGCTGTGTGTTAGTGAAAAGGTAAGAGACATAGTGTAGGCATAGGACGAGTCCAGCTTTGTAATGTTTGTATGTAGAGGACAGTATGTTAACATGTATGTAAAGGAAGAAGACATTGTTAATGGATAACTCCATGTCCCAGTTCTCGTGTACTTAAATTTTTCCAGTCTTCTGCAGTGATCATACTATGTACATTATTTAAAGAGAGTTTTGCCAGATATAGTGGCTCACACTTAGAAGGAATCAGAGGCAGTCTGAGTTCAAGGGCTAGCCTGTTCTACATAGCAAGTTCAGGCCAGCCAGAGCTTGTTTCAAAATAACAAAAATGTGAGCTCTTAAATTTTTCTAGCAACTGTCTGATTTAAAATCCTCTAAAAATGCAGCAAACTGGATGTGGCATCTCATGTCTGTAGTCTGAGTACTTGAGAAGAGAAGGCAGGAGTATCAAAAGTTTGAGATTATCCTCAGGTACAGGTTTAAGTCCAGCCTAGGCTACATAAGATAGCAATAGCAAGGCAATATATGATTTTTAAAAAATACTTTCAAGTGCATATGAATCCTGGAAAAACATTAAGTACCTCAAGTTTGTCTTGCAGAAAATCAAATACAAATCTTAAAGTGTCTATAATTCATGTTTCAGTAAGAGGGTTCCTCAACTTTAGCTCTCAAAAAAGTACACATGGTTGAAAAGATCCAAAATATAAGAAAATAGTGTCTCTGTCCTGGCATCTACCATTCCCCAAGATAACCTCTATTAATAATTTCTAATGTAATTTTCAGAAAATTTTATGCATAAGCAAATATGTAATCTTTATTTTTAAATAAATGGGATCATATTGTATGTTCTACCCTGTTCTTGCTCCTTCCTTACAGTCTGGAAGATCCTGACCTGTCCACACACAGCTAGCTGGCATTCTTCCTACTGTCTGCAGAATTTTGCTGAACGTAAGGCCCCAACTGATTACCCACCATTGGTTGTATTCCATGTTTATTAAAAATTATTTGGTGCGAGCCAGACAGCGGTGGTGCACACTGTTAACCCCACTTGGGAGACAGGCAGGCAGATCTCCGAGTTCAAGGCCAGCCTGGTTTACACAGTAAGTTCCAGGGCAGCCAGGGCTACACAGTGAAACCCTGTCTCAAAAAAATGGAAAGAAACCCAAAAAAAAAAATTGGTTAGGCCAGGTATGATAGCAGAAGATTTTCATCCCAGCATTATGGAGGCAAAAGGAGTTGAGTCGCTGAGTCAGCCTGGTCTTCACAGTGAGTTCCAGACTGACTCCGGTTACCCAGTGGGACCATGTCTCTAAAACAAAACAAAAATTGCTTATTTGGTTTTTCTGTTACAAATATGAGCACTTGGAGGGGAGAAAGGGGATCCTGGGGTATGGTTTGTTACCTTAAATGATATTTGAGGTTTAGACTCTGAGAGATGCCAGGTGAGCTCTTTTTAAGGGCTGTATGAGTTAACATACTTCTCCATCAGTGTGTGAGACTAGACCCCACTGATACGCCTCTGTACCATCCTTCACCTTTGTCAACACTGTAGATAAAGGTTATGTGTAATTATATGAATGGACATGAACTTTGGGAGTGGGGGTTAAGACAAGGTCTCACCAGAGGCTCACTGTGTAGACCAGGCTGGCTTTGAACTCACAGGGATCTGTCTGCCGCTGCCTCCTGAGTGCTAGGGCTACAGGTTTGCAGCATGCCTAGTGAGATGGCCATCTTTGATGCTCCTGGCCATGCCGACTTATTTTTAAACTGTTCTCCAGTTTTACTTTTGTATTTTTCCTACTGATTTGTAAAAATTCTATGCACATAAGAAAACCCTTTACTCAAGGCCAGCCTGCTCTACAGAGTGAGTGCCAGGACAGCCAGGGCCACACAGAGAAACCATGTCTCTAAAAAAAAGAAGTTCCTGACTGCAGAGCTAGAACCTGTGTATAGGAGGACTTTTTTTAAAAAGATAATATATGGATGGGTGTTTTTGCCTACGTGTGTTTTTGTGTCCCATATGCATGCAATGCACACAGAGACCATAAGATCCCCAACAGAGATCATTGGATCCCCCAAACTCAAGCTAGAGACCATTGTTAGCTGCTGTATGGATGCTGAGACAAACCCAAGTCCTCTGGAAGAGCAGTCAGAGCTAACTTCTGAGCCATATCTTTAGCTTCCTGGATAGGAAACTTCTATGGATATACCTTAAGTTAGGAATGCTTGTAAGAAACAAAAGTACAGACATAATCACTCCTATCTTTTAAATTTTTACTGCTTTATGGGTATGTGTTTCTTACCAGCACAGATGTCTGTGCATCATGAGTGCCTGGTTTCCAGGGAACCCAAAGAAGGCATTGGAGCCCCTGAACTGGACTCACCAACTGCCATGTGGGGGCACTGGGAACCAGACTCAGGTCCCCTGAAAGAGCAGCTGGTATCTTAGTTGCTGAGTCATCTCTAACCACATAATAATCTTTTAAAATTAGCTAAAACCCCAGGTCTTTGAATCTGATAGGCATGTGTTACCACCTTGCTATCTACATCCCTGACCTCTGTCCCGTTCTCCCTGCTACCTCTCACTCCCAATCAGCATTTCACGATGTGGTTGTGTCTGGCCTCAAACTGCCTCCTGAGTGCTAGGATTGTAGACAGACATCTACTATCATGGTTAGATCTGCTCTTTATTTGTATTTGTTTACTCATTTAGTTAAGTGTCTACCATCAAACACTGAAAGCACACAGAAGCACAAGACAGCTGAGTCATTTCCACAGGGTACCTTGTAGGCTTCTCAGAGTCCAGAGAAATTCCCCGTACTGAAGATGTTTTCATTTCCATTGATAACTTGAAAAGCTTCATGATAGAAATCACCTCCCACAGTGTAGGCCTTGAGAGGTCCATTGTGGGCAGAAGTCTGTGCTAGTAAACGTGTCTAAAGAACCCAGGCTTCTCTGCACAACTGAGGGGGTGACTTGTCAGAAGGAGGAAATTGGACTCAGACTGTGTTGGCTTGGCTGTGTTTCCCTTTGCTTGGAGCGCTTGCAGTATTTGTAGAGTAGAAACGCCAAGCTACAGACAGCAAGCAGCAGGAGAGCGAAGAGCACATACAACGCCGTATGTGCTTCTGTTTTGCCCAGCATCAGCCCCAGGAAGGGCACGTCCAACTTCACGGGGCTGCCAGTGGGTTCAGCTTCTAGGAGAGGACAAGGGCTCAGCTCAGGCTCGGCACTATTAGCTCCCAGACTGCTACAGCTCTGGTAAGGTCCTCTAATCCTGCATGGTACCCTCCCATCCCCCCCCACAGCCCCCCACCCCAGCATAAAGAGCAGAACAAGCTCATCACTGTGGTGTTGGCATGGGTCCCCTTCACTGTTGGGTTGTTTTTATAGTTGTGGGCATGTGCATACCATGATGCTTGTGTGGGGACAGAGGACAACTTTCAGGAGTTCTCTCCACTTAGGGTTCCTAGTATTGAACTCACACCATAGCACTTTTACCTACTGAGCCGTGAGCCATCTCACTGTTCCCCCCGTACCCCCACACTTTTTCCCCTGAGACTGGTCACATGGAGCCCAGACAGGGCTCAAGTCAAGTTAGCTAATTGCCATAGTTGATCTTGAACTTCAAATTCTACTGCCTCTACCTCCTCGGTGCTTGGGTTACAGAGCTGTGCTACTGTAGTGTTTGTGTGGTGCTGGGTACTGTGGACATGCTAGGTGAGCTTTCTACCCACTAAGCCACATCCCCAGCCCTGTTTTAAGTATCACTTATTAGTCACCCAATAAGTACTAGCCCCAGTGTTTATACATCCTTTAACCTGTCCTAGAAACTGCCTGGAAGCCTTTGTCCTTCTCCAAGGAAGGTGCCACAGCAAGGTAGGACTGGAGGAATCTAGATGTGCTCATTCCTACAGCAGAGCCCAGTCTCTACGGGTAGACAGGCTCTGGAGAGTCCTGTAGCAGCCCTGCTAATGAATGAAGGGGACAGAAAGGTAGGAGAAGGCCAGGAACTGGAGGAAGGTGAATGCAGAGAGCAGCTCCCACTCCCCCTTGATCCTTCAATGTTGGTCCCTCCCAGTGCCACCTCACCGTCTGGTTGATGGAGACAAGGATGAGGTCCTTGTGCAGGGTCAGGAAAGCCATTGCAGCGGATTACAGAGGCATAGAAGTTGGCTGATGCCTTGGGGATCCTTGGCAGAGAAGGGTCAGAGCGGTTCACAAAGTGCACACCAAACCTCTCTGCAAAGCCTGTGGCCCATTCGAAGTTGTCCATCACGCTCCATAGTGTGTATCCTCGAAGGTCCACCTTATCCTGCACAGCTGCTCAAACACAGACCTGGTGTGAACACTTCACATCAAGACACTGGTGTGCCAGCCTGCCTGCTCGTAGTTGTCCCTATTGTCCTGCTTTGTGGAGCATGAGTTCCAACTCTGAGGCCCCTTCCTGTGTGCCAGCAGGTCCTCTGCAGTGGACATGCAATGGCCATTGGTATCTTTCTAGAAAGGCTCAGTTCTGAATGGAATCTAGAAAGCCTGAGCTGCCTGCACAACTCTCTTCTGTAGCTTAAGGGGATTAGTCTGAGTCAGGCCCTTGAAATTCTCCTATCCATGGAGGCACATTTAGAGGCAAAAGATCTGAGCTGTAATAAGACCTCCTGGAGCCCAGGGTTCACATATATATATCCATGGTTTGTAGCTATGAGTCCGTGCAGAGTTTAGTCTTAGGTGCTGCCCACCTTGTCCTTTAATACAAGGTCTTCCATTTCCTACCTCCCCAGTGCTGGGGTTATAAGCACCCACCACCATGCCCAGCTTTCCAAATGGTGTCTGTGATTGAATTTGGGTCGCACCATTGTACAATGACCACTCTACCAACTGACCTACCTCCACAGTCCTTTTGCCTTGCAGAGAAAAGGCCCTAGAGCCAGCTACCAGACAACTCTTGTTCTGCTCGCAGAGGAGAGAAATGTGCAGAGATGGCAAACAGCAAGAAAGACTGAGGGTTGCAGAGACTAGGGTCAGGGCCTAAGGTGGAGCCAGTTCAGGCTTTACTTGCTGAGGGTAGGTAAATGGAGGAAGGAAAAAGACCTCAGATTTTAGCCTCAAACAAATGCTCAAACTCATTCAAGCAAAGGGCCTTCTCATTAGTGTCCCTGAGGATGCCAGACTGCCCTCCAACAGACACTGTGGGGCTCCAGCAATGAAAGGGCTCTGAAGGGGCTCATTGGAGCTAGGCAGGCCAGAGGTGGGAGTTCTTACCTTTGAGGGCCTCATTGATGTAGCTGCGGAGGTAGTAGATCCTGTCGGTGTCATTGAGTTCTACATCTCCCCGTCTGGACACTCCATTCTCTGTGACGTAAATTGGAGGGTTGTTGTATTCCTCCTTCAGCCAGTTCAAGATCCTCCGGAAGCCAAAAGGTGTCACCTTCAGCCAGAAGGAGCCAGAGACTGGCCAAGAGCTGTCTGCAATGGAGGCAACTCCCCTGAAAGTTCACAAGGCAAACATGAGGTCTTGTGTATAAGGCACTGGGGATGGTCTCAGTTGTACCTTCCGAGGTTCCTATTCACTAAAGTGAACAGCTCCGCATGTCCCCAGCTCCTGTCTCCTTTTGAAATATAAGTGCTACCTTCAGAGAATGGGTCCCCAAATCACCTGTCCAGTTAGTGACCCCCACTCTGGAAATCCTCATCTGTGTAGTGACAGAGGGCAGACAGATGGGGACCACTCCAAATGTCCACATCCCTGACCCTTCTGGAATGATGGAAAAGAAAGGGGGATGTGTTGGTGGCGGAGGAATGGCCACTGGAGGGAGACGCAGGCTGAGGCATCTGATGGGCCCTGTGTTTCCACAAAGGCTTCTATGTGCCCAAGTTGTTCACAGCACTGGATCCCACTTAGCTGAACTGACTGTTGCATCTCATAGGATCTAGTGGAGGTTGCTGGGGAGACAGTCTCAGAACTGCAAGATTTGAAGGGAGCAAGCAGAGGGTTCCAAGTAGGGGTGGAGGACGTGAGGCTTGTTTGTGAAGACAGAACCAGAAAGAGGGTGTGAAGACAAAGGGCTGTATTGGAGAAGTATCTCAGTAAAGTACCTGCCTTGTAAGCATGAGTCCATGTTCTTAAAAGGTGGGGGAAGCTGGGCGTGGTAGCACATGTTTATCATCCCAGTGCTGGGAAGGTGGAGACAGGCAGATCATTTCTGCCTCAGGTGCCCTGCAGGTCGGGTCGTCTTACCTGTCTGCATCAAAGGATGAGATGGCAGCAGGGTAGTTGAGGTCATAGGCCAGTACAGTGGTGTAGTGGTTGAACCCAAAAAAGTCAAAGGTGCCCTTGATCCTCATCTTCTCATTCTCTGTAAACTCAGGGAGCCTGGGAAGAGGAAGCCATTAGGGGAAGAAGCTTCAGGAAGAATCACTTTGAGGAGGGTAGGGAGCACTCAGAACTCCTAGGCTGTGACTAGAGCAGCTCCCTGGAAAGGGAGGCCCTTCAGGGTGCTCCTGCCTGCTGCTACATCCCTTCTCCCCAAAGAGCCATTCTGCCCACTGGCCTCACTGCCTGTGTAAGCCCCTGCAGGCTGGCCCTCACCCACCCCTGTCCCATTTTCTTCAAACGTTCTGATTTTTACCCTGTATGATAGATTTGAAAGCCAAGGGTGCATCTAAGGTAATTGCCTTTGAACTATTCCTTCATGTTCTGAAATCTAGTCTTTGTCATTTGTGTCCTCCCAGCCCGCCCTCTGTTCCTGTGTTTTCCTGGCCTGCTTTATTCACTGTCAACAGGGAAGACTCAAGAACTGAATGTTGTACTTTTCTACTCTGATTATTTCACTGAACTTGTATTCTCAACCCTTGCTTCTCTCTGGAGTCTGTAATAGCTCCTCAGCTGGTGGCCTCAAGGCCAAGGCCCTTGTGGCTTCCGTGTGACCCTGCCCTGCCCTGCAAGAAGGCTTCCCTGAAATCTCCTGCTTATTCTTCCTGTCTGTACTCATAACCCTAAGTTCATTCTGAACGCCCCGCTCCACCAATGCTGACTCTCGAAACCCCAGGTCTGCCAGTCTCCAGGTCTCTCTATAGAGTTTTCTTCTACTGAGGAACAGAATCCCACCCATGCCATCATCTCTTCCCTGCTGGCCTGTCAGCAGCAGGAGGAGCCAGACTGCCTGTGGCCCTACTCACTTAGTTCTGACCCAGGTGTGCAGTAGTTGCTCGGCTAAGTGCCGTGGAGGGACCAGAATGAACACTTGCACACTGGTATATCAGACACATTGGCACAGCCTTGACCTCAGGACCTGCCCTGTACAGGCCATGTGTGTGCTACAAGGTAAGAACTAGAATGCTTAACATCCCAAGATGGGAGAGGCAGCAGGTCTGGAGGGAAAGACTCAAAGGCTGTTAGGAATGCATACCTGCTGAATTCCTTCCCCCACTAGCATGTGAGCTAGAGGGGAGCTGTGAATCTGTCCCCACAAAGCCAGGGACCATCTTTTTGTGCCTTGCTAATGCCACACCACCAATGCCAACTGGATGTTAGTTTTGGAGGCAGGCAGCTCTTGTAGAACATTATTTTAACTGGGAAAAGATGTGTTACGTTTGTTTATGCTGCAGAATATTATGTAAAGATGTGTTAGATTTGTTTATGATGCATTTGTTTAATTAGGAAAAACTGTTTTGTTTTGCCTAAGGTCCCTGATTTATCTAATAAAGAGCTGAATAGCCAATAGCTGGGCAGAGAAAGGAGAGAAAAGGAGGAAAACTCTAGGCTCAAAGAGAAGAATGGTGGAGAACAGGAGGAGGAGAACAAGGGAGACACCTGGAGCAAGAAGTCAGGCAGCTGCCAGACAGAGAAGCAGTGTAAGTTAGATACACAGAGGTAACAAAGGCAAAAAGCCCTGAGGCAAAAGGTAGATAAAGAGAAACAGCATAATTTAAAAGAGCTAGCCAGAGATGTGCCTAAGCTAGGCCAAGTATTCAAAACTGTTAAGTCTTCGTGTCATTATTTAGGAGCTGGTTGGTGGCCCAAAAGAAAAAGCCTGGTACAGGCAGCCTTGTTATGAACATCACTTTGGTGGTGGAGCACTCCTGCCCTCATCACCTTTATTACCATCTTTAGTAATGAAAGCACCTTGGAAACCATGATAACTGCCCCTCACAGGAAGCTTGCAGAGCAGGAAAGCAGGGATGTTCTATTGTAAGCCACTGCCCTCTGCTGGCCAAAGGACAAAGCGCACTTGGCCGACAGTACCCAAGTAAGGGCCTTCTCTCAGTGTGATAAACCAGAATAGGATGAACTGCACACTTGTTCTTGGAGTGAGGCAATGGGTTACTTAGGACTGGGCACTCTTGGGACAGTTTCCACACCTGTCCTGGAGAACAGTAACAATAGCCAGCCTCTGAGCTTAGATTTGATTTAATTAAAAAACTTGTTTCTCGCTGGGCAGTGGTGGTGTACACCTTTAATCCCAGCACTTGGGAGGCAAAGGCAAATGGATCTCTGTGAGTTAGAGGCCAACCTGGTCTACAGAGTGAGTTCAGGATGGCCAGGGCTACACAGAGAAACCCTGTCTCATAAAACAAAAAAGCAAAACTTGTTTCTCGGGCTGGAGAGATGGTGAGAACACAAGCCCTAGGCATGGTGCCCTGCCTGGTGCTGATATATCGCTCACATCTATGGACACAACACTTACCTCGACTTGTTGAGGCCTGCCTCCAGGCTCCTCGCAAGGATGCGTGTCTTCATCACCTCCGGGTAATCTCCATTACTGAAGATGGGGTGTGCAAACCAGCCTCCCATGAACTGTGGTGGAGGTAAATATCCCTTGAGGTGACATGGGAGAGAGGTGTCTCACCTCTCCCAGGAACCAGCAGGCCTAGCAGAGGCTGCACCCTCAGGATCATTCCCTCCCTCCTGTCAGGGCCTCTACTGAACATGAGTGTTTGTTCCATGCTGGCATCTGTTTACTACAGACTTCCAGGGACAGTTTAAGCGCGTTCTTGTTTTGAGAATTAGAAAATCAGGGGCACTGAAGAATTCCTAATGTAGTCTAAGTGGAGAGTGGAGGAAATTAGCTTCAAGCCAGCGTGGCGTCTAGTGAGACCTACATATAAACAAGATCTCATCGTAGCACAGACGCACCTCAAACTTGCTATGTAGCTAAGGATGACCGGAAACTCCTGATCCTCCTGCTTTAGTCTCCAAAGTGCTAGGATCACAGGCTCACATCACCATAACCAGAAAGTGCTAGGCTCACATTACCATAACCAATGATATGCAGTGTCATGGGCAGAACCTCAGGCTCCATGCATGCTAAGCAAGCACTCGGCCAAATTACCTCCCCAGAACTGGACTAACAATTTTTAAAATTGTCATCAGCAGTGGTGATGGCAGTGGCAGTGGTCTGTGCGCCTGTGTGTGTGATTTGGAGTGAGGACAGGTGCCATGGTGGAGGTCACAAGTCAACTCTGTGGTGTCTCATCTCTTTTTTTTTTAAATTTATTTATTTGTATTTTATGCAGGTGATTTTCCTGCATGTATTCTGTGTGTGAGGGTGTTGGGTCCCTGGGAACAGGAGTTACAGACAGTTGTAAGCTGCCCATGTGGGTGCTAGGAACTAAACTTAGGGCCTCTAAGAGAGCAGCCTAATGCTCTTAACTGCTAAGCCGTCTCTCTAGCCCCATCTCCTCCTTTATGTGGGTTCTGAGGATAGAATTCAAGCCACTAGGCTTGCATTGGCAAGAACCTTCACCCACTGAGCCATCTTATGAACCCACAGATAATTTTTTAAGACTTAGAACTCAGTTCCTGGCTGGAGAGGATGTTCAATTGTCAAGCACATTTGCTCTCTAGAAGACCTTTGTTTGGTTTTAAGCACCCAGCTCAAGTGGCTCACAACCATTCCTGATATTGGATGCACTCACAGGCACACATAAGTGAAAATAAAATAAATTGGGTGGTGGTAGCACACACTGTTAATCCCAGGACTCTGGAGGCAGGCACAGGCAGGTAGATCTCTGAGTTCTAGGCTAGCCTAGTCTACAGAGTGAGTTACAGGATAGTGAGGGCTACACACAGAAACCCTGTCTCCAAAAAAACAAACAAGTCTTTAAAAAAAAAACTCAGCTTCTCATAACTCATCCCCTTCATCACAACAAACCACTGTGTGTAGATATTTAATTCGCAGATGATAAACCTGAAGAACAGAACAGTTAAGCATTTCTCCTCAAGCTCACAACATCAAGAGCGAGCAAAAGTGTGATTAGATCTATAAGCTTTGATCCCTGGTCTTTCAAAGCATAGTGGGAGAAAAGATAGTCAAGAAGAGATGGTACCCAGAGGACACACCTGAACATATCTCCTGGCGGCCTCAATGTCCTCCTGCTTGGAGGGGTCCCTGGGCTCAGCCCAGTCACTGTTGATGGTGATAGAAATCACACCTTTCTGGCTGTCTCGGTACTTGTCATTGTAGAGATGCCAAGCCTCAGCGTGAGCCTTTATTAGGTTGTGGCCAGCAGTGTATGGAGCTGTGCCAGGCCTGAAGGAGATTCCTGGAAACACATACAGGGATGTCAACAGAAAACACCATCTTCTCTGTGTGTGGAAGGAAAGATTTGATAGCTGGGAGATTGGCATTCCTATTCCAGACCTCCCTCCTACTGGATGGCAGACAGTAAGTCAGCCTCTAGTCTTTATCAGAATATGCAGCATAGAGTGCTTGTAAGAAAGGACCCAGAGTGTCTATGGGCAGCACTCTGGGTGAGAAAATGTACTTGACATATGTTGGCTTATGTCCCCTCCTCTGGTGGGATGTCTACCATGATGAATGCTGAGAAGTTGACATCCTGTACCTCTAGGGGGCCAACATGAAGTCAGGACTGGAGGACACACCCAACGGCGACAATAAGACACACCATGAGAACAAGTGTTCAAATTGAAATGCTAAGAGCCAGAGAAGATGCATCCATCTGCGTTTGAGAAATACCTCTCCACCCCATTTCAAGCTTAGAGTGTGAGTGGGGTTGGTGGTGTGTGTAGGGACATGTGCTAACATGTGTGAGTATAGGCGGTCTCATTCACAGACAGACCATCGTCTCTGATACAGGGTTACTTGTGGGCCTAAACTAGGCTAGACTGAGTGACCAGTGAGCCCCAAAGCCATCTGACTCTGCCTTTCCAGGGCTAGGGTTACAAATGTGTCCCCATCCCTGCTTTGTGGTTTTGGCATGGGTTCTGGGAAGGGAACTCAGACCTCCATACTTGCATGGCAAGCACTTTACCAACTCACCCCTCTCCCCAGGCCCGTGGAGATGAGGTTTCCAACACACTGCCTGGCCATGACTTCCCATTGCCCCCTGGATTCCAGGTCTCAATGAGTTGAGAATGTTATGACCCAAACAGCTGACAAGTTGTACCTAGGGTCTTTACCTGGGGCAGACACTCCACTACCATAGCCATGGGCAGCAATGACGAAGGGCTCATTCAGTGTGATCCAAAACTTCACCTTGTCCCCCAGCTTCAGGAAGAGCACATCTGCATACTCCTTAAACAGCTGCACAATTGTCTCATTCTCCCAGCCCCCGATGTCTTGCAGTGCCTGGGGCAGGTCCCAGTGATACATGGTCACCTGAGGGGCAGGGGGAGCCAGATCAATGTTCTACCAACCATTTCCTCAGGAAGCTAGACAGGAGACATGCAGGGAAGGATGGGAAGGCTCGGGAGTCCTGAGCTATTTCCAGGACGGCAAAGAAGACATTTCTTCTTTGCTTCTGCACTATGTGAATTTATGGAAAAGCCATTGGGTGCTGGGTGATGGCTCAGCAGGTGAAGGTGCTTGTCACCAAACCTGATGATCTAGGCTCAACTTCCAGGATCCACATGGCGGAAGGAGAGAGGTCACTCCTGGGAAGTTGTCCTCTGCACACTCGTGTGTATGCACACATACACACACCCACCTACCCTTTGGGGTGTTGGTAACATGACTCAGCTGATAGAGTACTTTCCTAGCATGCATGATGCCCTGGCCTCTAGCACCACATATATGACATGGTGGTGCACACCTGTGAGCCTAGCACTCATGAGGTGAAGGTAGGCACATCAGAAGTTCAAGGACATCTTCAGCTACTTAAGGACTTAGAGGCCTACTTTGATATATGACCCTATCTGAAAAATAAATAAATGGATATGAGAGGCAAACAGCCCTTTAAAAATAAATAGATTAAATAATAAATAAAAGCCCAGCATTTTGTTTGTAGAATCAATGGGGTCCTGCTGACCCCCTGCCTCCAGGGACCACGCCCTCACCTGTGGTGTGATGCCAGCAGCCAGCAGTGCATCTATGAATCGAACGTAGTAGTTGAGTCCTGCTTCATTGATGAACTTGGTGGTTCCGTCTGGGAGGACTCTAGGCCAGGAGATGGAGAATCGGTAGTGGGACACACCCAGGTTCTGAAGAGCCACCACATCCTCAGCAATCTTGTGGTAACTGTCACAGGTCACATCTCCATTGTCATTATTCTCAATCTTCAGTGGCGTGTGGGAAAATGTGTCCCAAATACTAAGTCCTTTACCATCTGCTCTCCAGGCACCTTCAATCTCAAGAGAACAAGAGGTAGTCTAAGTCATCTGACCAAACAGACTGCCTTCTCTATCACCCTGGGGAGCCTTCTCCACACACCTCATCACCAGTTTCTAAAGTCACCTGCTCACATGGCAGAATCACACTGCATTGTAGGCATCTCTGTCTCTGTCTGTCTGTCTGTCTGTCTGTCTGTCTGTCTCTCTGTGTGTGTGTGTTTGTGTGTGTGTGTGTGTGTAGAGCCTAGGTTGGCTTTGGACTCTTATGTAACAAAGGAACCTCCCCAGTTCCAAGACTGTGTATTCCACTTTAGTTTTCCAGTGAATGCTGACTCTGGGGTCTGGCATATGGTGGGCACTCACTTGAAGTCTTGAGTGAACAATTTCACATCCCCTACTGCCTCTAACCACAGCTACCAAATTGCAAGGATAGTGATGTGGAGAAAGTATTTGTAGTCCAGACATACATAGCCATTTCTATGCCTTCCTCCTCCTCCCTAGTTCCCTTCCAGTAAGACACTGGAGAATGCCTATCTGTGGTGTTCAGTGGGTAGTTAGGTATCACTTCTGTCACAGCTGAGATGGTGCTGGCATTCTAAACAATAATGTACAGCCAGTCAAGGCTAGAACCAAGAGTCTAGCTAAAGCTGTAAGAATATTAATACACACACACAGAGAAAGAGAGAGAGAGAGAGAGATTCATATAGAGAGTTCTTAACTGTAGAAAGGAGATACAAATAATGGCAAATGAAAGGGCTAGCATTTCCCTATGGAGTCATATTTGAACTGGATGTACAGATATGAACTCATGGCTTTAAATATACAAAGTGTGGGACTGAGGGATATGGCTAAATTAGAAGAGGCCTTGCACGGCACCCATGAGGCCCTGGGTTCTGTCCCCAGCACTGCATATATCAGGAATGTTGGTGCATGCCAGTAATCCCAATACTTGGAAGGTAGAGACAAGATCAGAAGTTCAAGGTCATCCTTGGCTGTAGAGTGAGTCTGAAGCTAGCCTGGAATACACAAGACCCTGTCTGGTATATAATTAATGAACAAGCACAAAGCAGGATGGCTGGAAGGGTAAATTTACATGTGGGTACATCCACGTGTTTTTCAGTTCTGACTACTGAGAGGACCTACAAGTTGTATCCTCACTGCTGTGACGGTCCAGGGGCAGTGAGGATATAAGTGTCCAGACTGCTTGCTGTGAAAATAGCTGGGGCTTAACTGGTCAAGGCTTGCCTAGTGTACATGGATCCCTGGGCTACTCCAGCCCAGCACTGCATAAACCAGGCCTAGAACAGCACACCTCTAACCCCAGCATTTGAAGGGATGGAGGCAGAATGGTCAAGAATCCAAGAAATCTGGGGTGCTTGGCAAATTCAAGGCCAGCGTGAACTATGAGACCCTGTCCCCAAAACAACAACAAAAAAACTGCAAAGAAAAAAGGAAAAGTAGAAGAGGAAGAAGGGAAGGAATATGGTGATATCTTGTTTGTACTCTAACAAATACAGCTGGCTAGAAACTGGAGTTTTGAATAAAACTGAAAATATGAGCTGAGCACCAGCATCCACCCATCTCTCCCTGCTTCCTGACTGTGGATGCCATGTGATCAGCTGCCTCACACCCCTGCTATCAGGACTCCCCCATCACGATCTCATGATGGGCCGCACCCTTAAAACTGTGAACGTAAGATTAAACCCTCGAATTGCCTGTCATGTATTTTATCACAGCAACAAGACAAGGGACAAGACAGCCCCTACCCACACAGATCTAACTGAATTCTGGAGTAAGGCATCTGGATCCTCACACACACACTGGTCTGCTCGGGTCTACTGGACCTCTGGCCTGTGTGTGCCTGCCTGTTCCAGCACTGTGCAGATGCTGGGCTCCCAGCAGCAAGGAGGAAAGTTAGCCCATGGCTCCAAACTCCTCACCTGATATGCAGCAGAAGCTGCACTCCAGATGAAACCCTTGGGGAACTCTCCATACAGGAACTCGTCCTCCTTGGCCAGGGGCATGCCATTGTTGGTGATAACCTCTGTGTAGTATCTGGCTGAGGCTCTGGCCGTTCGAGGCCTGTTCACATGGTCAAAGTCAACATGATACAGTCCAAACTTGACCGTGTAGCCTGACAGCCACTCGAAGTTGTCCATCAGAGACCACGCAGAATACCCTCGAAGGTCCACACCATCCAGTCTGTAGGCTAGGATATGACAGAGACCAGACAGAGCTTTAGACAGTAGGCAGGAGCCTCAAGAAGGCCAGTCATGGGCTAGCACTGGACTCCAGGCTATGTCCCCAAACCACAGAAGTGTGCAGTCACGTGCTTCCTGGGGAAGGAATATGTCACCTCATTTCTTCTACGTTTTCTTTTTGTTTTTTTTTTTTGTACTTATTATTTATTTTGAGACAGGGTTTCTCTGTAGCTTTGGAGGCTGTCCTGGAACTAGCTCTGTAGACCAGGCTGACCTCGAGCTCTCAGAGATCCACCTGCCTCTGCCTCCTGAGTGCTGGGATTAAAGGCGTGTGCCACCACTGCCCAGCTTTCACTCTGACTTTGCTAGCCTCAGTGACCTTACAAGTGTTATTTGTTAAGGTAAAGGGATATGTCTCAGGTCCAAGAGCCTCAGCTCTCCTTACATAGTAATCACACAGTGGGAAGTTCTTGATGTCACTTAAAATTTTTTGAGTCAGGATCTCTTGTAGCCCAGGCTGGCTTTGAACTCACTGTACAGTCAAGGGTAAACTTGGACTTTTTTCTGGTCCTTCTGTCCCTACCCATCCAGCAGTAGGATGGCAGGTGTATATCAGCACGCCCACTTTAGGGCTGGGACTAGAGACTAGGGCTTTATATTGTAAGCGAGCAATTTACTGAGCCACATTCCCAGCTCTAGAAGGACTTACATTTTTATTATTATCTGTGTGTGTCTGTATGTGTCTAAGTATGTATATATTTGTGTGTTTGTGTGTGCATCTGTATGTGGTGTGTATGTGTATGTGTTTGCATGTGTGTGTGTATGAGTGTTGTGAATGTGTGTGTGTGTGTATTATGAGTGTGTGAGTGTGTAGGCCAGAACACAACCTCAGATGTCATTTCTTGTCCATCACTCACTTTTCTTTTTCAGAGCCTCTCATTTGACATTGAGCTTACCAAGTGGGTGAGGCTGGCCAGCCAGAGAGCCCCAAGAATACACCCCTTTCTGTTTCCTCAGCATAGAGATTACAAATGTTCCCTGCTTGGTTTTTCTCTGGAAACTGAACTTTAGTCCTCATGCTTGCAAGACACTTTACTACATGATCCCTGTCCCATGCCCACAAGGGAGACTGAGAGTGCCTGCCAAAGCATGGAGACACATGATAGAGGGCAGGAAGACTGGACACGTGACAGACGGAAGACAGGGAGACTGGACACATGACAGGTGGAGGACAGGGAGGCTGGGAGGTTTAGTATGAGGAGCGGAAGCTTCATGTACCTTTCAGAGCTTCATTAATATAGGTTTTGTGGTAGAATGTCCTTTGTGTGTCGTCCAGCGTGGGGTTGTCTAGCCCCTGTCCATTCTCAGTGACGTAAATGGGAATGTTGCCATACTCTTCCTTGATCCAGTTCAGCAGCCTCCGCATCCCCCAGGGTATAGCTGCGTGCACTGCCGTGGAGATCAATGAAGAGTCCATATTGCTGACTGTTAGCTCCCGGTCATCATCATAGTTGGGTGGATTCAGCCTGGGAGTGTTATGCTGCACAAATACAGACGAGTAGGTGTTGAGGCAGAAGACATCCGCGGTACCCATGATGTAACCCTTCTCCTCCTCCGTGAAGCTGGGCAGGCGGGACTCAGCCAGGTGCTGCAGCTCACTCCTGTTCCCCACATTCCATTTCATGACATCTGGATAGTCCCCGTTTCTAAAAATGGGATGGGCAAACCAGCCCAGGGAAAACTGCAGCATCCGGTCAGCGGCTTCCACATCTCTTCGGAGCCCTGGGTTCTTGGGCTCCACCCAGTGAGTGTTGAGGCTCAGTGAAATGACCCCACCCTGCTCCTGCCTGTATTTCTCAGCATAAGTATGGTAGACTCTAGCATGAGCCTTAATGATTACATGGCTGACCCTGTAAGGTGCCCAACCCGGGTCCTGCACATTTGGGGGAAACACCCCTGAACCATAGCCTAACAGTGCCAGGTACAAAGGCTCATTAAAGGTTATCCAGAACTTGACTCTGTCACCGAAGGTCTTAAAACAAAAGTCTGCATAGCTGTTGAACAAATCAACCATAGATGAGTTCTCCCACCCTCCAATGTCCTGGAGGGCCTGGGGCAGGTCCCAGTGAAACAGTGTCACCATGGGGAAGATGTTGCTCTGAACCAAGCTGTCAATGAGCTTGTTGTAATACTCAACACCAAGACTGTTGATGGAATTGTTTCTTCCTGTTGGGAAAATCCGAGACCAAGAGATAGAGAACCGGTAGGCCTTGACCTTCAGGGCGCGAAGAATGTTCAGGTCGGCATCCAATTGGTGATAGCTGTCACACGCTATGTCTCCGGTGGCATTGTCTTTGACATTGTTCCCCGGGGTGTGGGTGAAGTTGTCCCAGATGCTGGGGCCTTTGCCGTCGGCATCCCAACCTCCTTCAATTTGATAGGCCGAGGAGGACACACCCCACAGGAAGTCATCTCTGAATGTGCCATGATAGAACAGATCTCTTTCAAACTTGGGCTGGTTGGAGAACTTTTCCCACACAATTTTAGCCTGGGAAGGCACCTCAGATGGGGAGTTGGGGACGGCTGTCACTCGGGAGGAAAAGGCAGCTCTCATAGGTGGTGGATTTCTTCTTACTCTTTTGGCAGGGAAACCATTCTTTTCAATGATGCTAGTGAAGAAGTAGGCAGATTTCCTGGCTGTTCTTGGCCTGCTGCTGTCATTGAAGTTGACATGGTACAGCCCAAACCTCTGGCTATAACCCGGGGGCCCTTCGAAGCCATCAATGAGGGAGCGAGCAATGTATGAACGGACATCCACCAAATCCTCCTTGACAGCTATAAAGAGAAAGCAAAGTCAGATGTGTGAATCATGTAGAAAACCAGAAGAAAGCCTCAGCTGTTATTCCTCAGGATGCCATCTCCCTTGGTTTTCTTTTCCCTTTTTAAATTTTAAATAATTTTTATGTGTACATGTGTTTTTCCTGCATTTACATCTGGGCACATGTGTGCGATAACTCCAGAAGCCAGAAGAGGGATCAGGTCCACTGGGCCTTCAGTTCCCAAGGGGCGTGAGCTACCATGTAGGTACTGGGAAATGAACAGAAAAGCAGCCAATGCTCTTAACCACTAAGCCATTTCTCTGGCTGCCAAGCCCACCCTGAGCATGTTCACCTTAAATAATAATATAATAATAATAATATAGCCCAGGCTTGAACTCCTGAGTCCACTGCCTTCACCTCCCGAGAACTGGTCCTACAGGCACACATTCCCTAGCTTACACCGTGCTGGGGATGGAGTCCATTACAGCCAGCATGCTAGGAAAGCATTCTCTCAACTGAATTACATTCCCTGTCCTGTTTCATTTTTGAGACAGCTCTCACTAAGTATTCCAGGATGACTTTGAACTCCCAATCCTCCTGCCTTTGATTCCAAGTGCTGGAGATAAAGGCTGCACTACTACACCTGACGACAAGTGTCTTTAAGGGGGAAAATTCACATGAAGGTGGCAGTGTCTACAGGGAAGCTGACCTTCCCACTCCCCATATATAATCTGTGGCTGGAGAAGGTATGGAAGACAGTGCTGGCTATTAATTCCATCTTCTCAGACGGCTGATCCTCTGAATAGAGCGGTCCCTGTCCCTGCTCATTGGCTTCTGTGACAGGTATCACGAAATGACTCTAGTTTAGTGAGCTATGGGCTGAAACCACTTGCCATCCTTGTCAACTTGGATAAGAAGGTGCATCGGGTCAGACCGAGCATGTATGCATGGCTCAAATACAGAACAGGGACATGCACTGCACCTAAGGGAGACGGAGCTAAAGGGGCTATGCACTGAGGGGAGCAAGTGGTTGGGGTCCTATCCTAAGTGCCAGTCCTGTATCCCACTGAAGAGCGAGAGTCTCTTTCAGAAGGGATGACATTTATTCTGCAGGCTTTGAGGTCAGCCTTCTTACCCTTGAGCACTTCATTGATGTACAGGTTGAAGTAGTTCACTCTCACTGAGTCGTCGAGATCCGCTACTTCCCCTACTGGCATGCCATTCCCAGCCAAGTAGATTGGAACTCTTCCTTTCGTGTACTCCATGGAAGCAAAACCAAGCAGCCTCCTTATGCCCCAGGGCACCACCCGGATCCAGCGAGAGGCAGTCTGGGGCCAGGTGGGGTCTACGTGCTGGGAGAAGCCTCCGATGTTATCATAGCTGGGGGTGCAGGCCTGCTGCCCAGCCTTGCTGATGAGGCGGGATGTGTAATGAGACAGACCAAGGAAGTCTGCAGAGCCTCTCAGGAGCTGCTTCTCCTCTGCAGTGAACTCTGGGAGTTGGGCCAGAGGACGGCCACACTGCTGGTTTATGTGCTGGATCTGGGCCCTAAGGGTGGTGGGATAGTCTCCATCCACAAAGATGGGGTGTGCAAACCAGCCCAGCATGAAGTGCAGGAATCGCTCTGCAGCAGCAAGGTCCTGGGGGCTCCTCCTGTCCAGGGGCTCTGCCCAGTCTGAATTGAGCACAATGCCTACGCGTCCCTGCTGCTGTTGGCGGTGGTGAAGATCGTAGTGATGCCAAGTTCTGGCATGCGCCTTGAGGATCAAGTGAGCCACCTTGGGAGGAAACAGGAATAATGTCACCAGTGTTGACAAGTCACTGCTGAACCTTAGAATTATGAGCCAAAAGGAGCCCTTCCTTCCATTAAGTGCTTTGTTGTTGTTCACTTGCTTGCTTTTCAAGACAGCGTTGATCTGTGTAGCTCTGGCTGTCCTGGAACTTGTTCTATAGACCAGGCTGGCTTGACCTCAGAAATTCATCTACCTGCCTCTGCCTCCCAGGTGCACCACCACCCAACCTCCAAAGTGCTTTAGACAGGTGTTTTATCATAGCAGTAAGAGAAGTAACTACTACAGAAATGAAGGTGGCTTGGACTATACTTTAGAGGCTGAGATGAAGGATTTCTATGAGCTAAGACTGAAAATTGTGATTTTCAGGTTAGCTTGAGCTATAATCCGAGACCTATCTCAAAAAAAAAAGTCAATGCAAATAAATGCTTAAAGGCACACATGTATGTATATATATATACATATACCTACATACATACATGCACATGCTAGCCTACAATACACAGAACACATGGTGGCATGTGTCTGTCACTGTAACACCAAGGAGGTGGGGACTGAACCCAGGACCCTTTACACACACACTAAGCAAGAACTCTACAACTGAGGGACACTCCTCTAAGCCTGGAACTTGTCTTTGGAGTCAGGAAGACTTGCCCGGCGCTCAAGGTGCGGCTCACCTGGTAGACTGCCTACTATGAAAGGAGCCCTAGGTCTACTCTCATCTCTGCTTAAAAATCAGGCTCACTGATAGATGCCTGTGAGCCCCCTCTCAGGAATACAAGCAAGAGATCAGAAGTTCAAGGTCATTCTCAAGTTACATAACAATGTCACTATCAGCCTGAGACAACGGTAACATTCTTTGAGGGCAGGAAGGAAAGAGACCATCAAACATGTGTTCTAATTGATAAGAATTGCAGGGATGGGGGAAGGACCTTAAAAGAAGCCACTCCTGGGTCAGAGATGGCTGGTGCATGCTGTCCAGTGCCATAGCCTGCATAGCTTATCACCCATGGCTCGTGGAAGGTCACCCACAGCTTCACACGGTCCCCAAAAGTGGAGAAGCAGAAGGCTGCATAGTCCAGGAAGGCATCCACCACACTCTCATTCTGCCATCCGCCTTGATCCTGCAGGGCCTGAGGCAAGTCCCAGTGGAACAACGTAGCCATGGGCTCGATGTGGGAGTTCAGCAGGCTGTCTATCAGTCTATTGTAGTAGGTGACACCTTGGAGGTTGGGGCTGTTCTTCTGCCCAGTGGGGAACAGCCTGGACCAGGAGATGGAGAACTTGTACACCCCAGCCCTGAGGCCTCGGAGCAGGGCCACATCTGAGGCTGCTTTGTGGTAACTGTCACTGGTCACCTTTGCCGTTGCTTGTCCCTCTGCAGCATTCAGGTTACTGTAGTGGTCCCAGATGCTCGGCCCTCTGTTGTCTTCGGCCCAACCTCCTTCCACATTAAAGGCTCCCGTGGACACACCCCAGAGGAACCCTTCTGGGAACACATCTTGCATAAAGGCATCCCTTTCTGCACTAGACTGGTTGGCAAAGGCTGCCCAGACCATCTGGTAGGCTGATAGAAAGGAAGAGGGCACATTTTCTGTCTTCTGCTGCTGCTCAGTCTGAAAGGCCAGGCTCTCAGTTAGAGAACAAGATGGGCTGTGGGATAGAAGTGACATAAAGAGGCACAATTAAGGACTGAGGTACAAATGCCCCACAGGGTCAGGCATGGTGGCTCATGGCCTTCATCTCAGCACTCAAGGGGCAGATGCAGGCAGATCTCTATGAATGTGAGGCCAGCCTGGTCTACAGAGTGAGTTCCAGGAAGCCATAGTTACACAGAGAAACCTTAAGAAGAAGAAAGGAGGAGGAGGAGGAAGAGGGGGAAGAGAAAGAGAACAAGAGAGAGGGAGGGAGGGAGGGAGGGAGGGAGGGAGGGAGGGAGGGAGGGAGGGAGGGAGGGAGGAAGGAACAAGGGGCAGAATGTTGAAGAGGGCCAGGAGGAGAAAGAGGAGGAGGGTGAGGGTTAGGAGGAGGACCATTTCTGACTCCAGCGCTGGGGTGACAAGCATATACTATATCCTTCTATGCTTGTTCTGTGGGTGCTCGAGCCCCCACACTTACAGAGAAAGCACTTTACGGACTGAATGACCTCTCTAGTCCAAGCTGCTCTTACAATTTTTTAAAATAAGGATTCTTTGGAGCGTGGTTCTACACTGGCTTCCTGTCGGTGCTGTGCTTCGGGGAAGACGTTTCTCGTCTCACACTGAAGAACAGAGCTCAGGAACTTAATTCCCAAAGCTTCAGTGGGCTGTTCAGACCTACACCTAAATCGCATGTCTTTTTTCTTCCCTTTACAAAAGGTATTAATTCATTTACTTTTAGGTTTCATTGTTTACTGCCATGGTCATTGTATATGGACAACTTCATGGAGTCCATTCTCTTCCTCTGCCTTTACATGGGACCTGGGGATTGAACTCGGGTCACTAGGTTTGTGTGGTGTGCTGGTTACTCTTTTGTCAACTTGACAGCAAGCTAGGGTCTGGGAAGCTTGACTGAGAAAATGTTCCTGTCAACCCTGCCTGTCCAGAAGTCTTGATTGAATGATGGATGTGGGAAGGCCCAACCAACTGTGGGTAGGATGACCCTTGGGTATGTGGTCCTGGGATGTACAAGAAATCGGCAGGTGGCTGGAGAGATAAAGTAGATCAGAGGTTCAGAACACTGGCTGCTTTCCCAGAGGTCCTGAGTTCAATACCTAGCATCCACATGTTGGCTCACAGATGTCTATAACTGTAGTTCCAAGAAATACAGTGCCCTCTTCTCTTCTGGTGTGCATACATGCAGACAAGACACCCAAATGCATAAAATAAATTTTAAAAAAATCTTTAAAAAAAAAAAAAAAGAGAGGGCTAAACAAGCCATGGACATCAAACAAGCAGGCAGCATTCCCCCACGGCCTCTGCTTCAATTCCTGACTGCCCGTCATGATGGACTGGACTGTAAGCTCTAAGATGAAATGAACTCTTTATTCCTCCCCCAAGTTGCTTTTGGTCAGTGCTTTATTATTATTATTTATTTGGGTGTTGTGTGTGTGGGGTGTGCACATGCATGTGTGTGGAGGTAGAGGAGGATAATCTGCGGGTGTCAATTATCTCCCTGGGGGAGCCTGGGGGATCAAACTCAGGTCATGAGGCTTGGCTGCAGGTGCCTTTACCCACTGAACCATCTAGCTGGCTGTATAACCTGCTTTCTCTGCCACATATATGCACATCCCCCAGGTATCCGAATCTTAGCTGTTAAATATGTAGACCTAGGAGAATCTGACAGAGAGGAACCCAGACTGTGTGGGGCCCAGGCCATCTCAATGAGGCGCTGCTCTTCCAGTAGCTCCGAGCCTCCGTCTCTCACCTGTTATATGATTATATATAACTTATTTGCTATTCTAAGAGGCAAGGGTATTGCAGAAGGCCTGGGTTTAGTTCCCAGCATTCACATGGAATCCCAGTTCCAAGGGATCTGCTACTCTTGACCTCTGCAGGCTCTCTCAGGCAGGTGGTACACACACATGCACACTCAGGCTCGGGCATGAACACACACAACAAACATACAAAACAAAGAGACAAGGACAATGGTCCCCAGTGATTGCCCATGTAAACAACAACAGAGCCCACATTACCTCTCCTCAGAACTGGATGGACAGCTCAGGAACTCATTGATGTCGAACCCAACAGTCTGTACTTGGTCTTTATTTATGGCTGTAAGAAAAACAGCTCAGCTGACTATGTGTGGAGCTCAAGCACAAACATGCAATCAGTAATTTGCCTCACCCAAACCCCAAGCAATGATTCTAAGCCCTTCTGAAAATACATGGATGTGTCTGGCCTGCTTAGGTCCTCACATTTCAGGGTGCATACCAACCACCCAAACATTCAGAAGACAGCTGGACCCATCCCAGAGTCTTGGACCCAGGAGATCTCAGGGCAGTCTGGAATGGACTTTGTGTTTTCCTCCCTTTTGGTCTTTTTTTTTTTTTTTTTTTTTTTTCTTTTTTTTCTTTTTTTGAAACAGGGTTTTATGGCTTTGAACTCAGAGTTCTGCCTGCCTCTGCCTCCAGAGTGCTGGGATTACAGGCGTGCGCCACCAGTGGCTGCCTGGGAAATTTTTGAAAAAGAAGGCCGGGGAGTTAACGGGTAAAGTGCCTTCTGGGTAAACATGAGGGCCTAAGCTCAAGCACACAAAAAAGCTGAGCATGAGGTTGGAAGGATGGCTCTGGGTAAGGAGGAGACTGCGTTCTAGAAGACCCAGTCCAGCTCTTAGCAGCCACTGCAGGTGGCTCACAACTCTAGTGACTCCATTTCCAGAGGATTCTATACCCTCTTCTATCCTCCTCATGTACCTGCACCAGTATGTGTGCGCATGCATGCATATACACCCCCACACGCACGCACGAACAAAGACACACACATGCATGCACCAAAAAGACTATCATTAACTTTAAAGCCTGGCTGGGCTACATAGTGAGTTCTAGAACACAAGGTCCTACATGTAGAGGTTTTTAACATCAGGGCTACCCAGAACAGGGGAGCACAAGTCTATGTTTCCATGCTGACAGTTCCCATGTGAGGCCTGAAGGTTTTCGTGTCCATATTGGGCATTCTTGGCATCTGTACAGAACTTCTCAGTGTCTTGGGGCATTAGGAGCTCATTGCCAGGGAAAGCAAGGGCCTTTAGCTTCATCTGGTTGCTGTCAGTCCAGTCATTTTCCTAGGCCTAGGCCCCACCCTCATGAGAACCCCCGATTTCAATACCACTAGCCAACAAGCCAGTGTAACAAATGTCACTCAACATCTGTCACATGTTGGTCCACTCACCTTCAAACAGGCTGAAGAGCAGTGAGGAGGGGCTCTTCCCTGTGGATGAGCAGTCCTGAAGTTTTAGCATATAGATGAAAACTTTCATTTTGGGCTCAATGTTCTAGGAAAGATAAACACCAACAAGTGTGTCTTTAGTAATGGGTACAGGTGAGATGCTACTTACTCACCTTTTAGAAATGACCTCTAGCCATCCCACTTACTGAAGACAGTGACTTGGACCCTGAAGGAATGAGACACCAGTCAGTGACCATCAGTCACCAATCCTTTGAAAATAATGTGATACCCACAGAAGTTCATTTTAGATGGAGCCCCTCATAAGCCGGCAATATTATGGTCAAGAGCAAGGAGACTGCACTACCTAAAGAGTTTTACCGCATCACTATGCTCATAAGCATCTGTGGATTGCCTAGAAAATATTCTGGTTTGTGAAGGTGGGATGTACTTGGATTGGTAGAGTATTTGTATAGAATGCATAAAGCTCTAGCCTCCATCCCCAGTGCTACATAAACCAGGTGTGGTGTAGCAGGCCTATCATCTCAGCACTCAGGACAGACATGGATGTGGAAGGATCATCTGCATTTCTCTGTGCAGAGCCGAGGCTTCCTGGGCTTTCCTTCATCTGGGCTTACACATCATTGGTGGTGTCCTTGCTCAGCTCACATGTGGGCAGTCATGCTGGTAAAGACTTCATGCTGTAACTGCTGTTACCAGGAGACATAGTCTCACAGCAAACTTGCTGATGCTCGAGCTCCTATGATCTTTCTGTCCCTTTATTTTTATTTATTTTTTTCCAGCATTCTTTGGTATAAAGGGAAATTATTTTCAGGCTGGGATATCTGAAAATTCACTTTAGTTTTAGTTTTAGTGGTGGTCAGGCCCCTGTACTCACCCTTTTCGTGGCTGCTTGTAGCGAAGTTCAATCTTCCCCACCCCTCCCTCTCTCTAAAACACAGTCTCTTGTAGCCTAGGTTGGCCTTGAACTCACTAGTTAGTTGAGAATGACTTTGAACTCCTGATTCTCCTACCTCTACCTCCCCAGTGCTGGGATTATAAGCATGCATTACTACACTTGTTTTATGCTGTGCTGGGGATGGAACTCAGGCAAGCAGTTCTACCAACTGAGCCACAGCAAACCCAGGGAGAGCCCACAGAGAACCCACAGCAAGCCTACACTCTGATGGTCTCTTTAAGTGAAAATCTCCGGACCTGCAACTTGGGAGGTAAGACTGTTTTGGAAGGCTCAGTCCAGGCTGTAAGTAACCAAAGGATCATATTTCTAAGCTGTGTAGAACCTTTGTCGCTCACCATCAAGATAGAAAAGTGTTCACATTACCTGCAGTTCGCTCAGCTTCTGTGGTAGGTTTGCCATACCTTGGCACTCAGAGGTCAAATCAAGAGAGAGGAAATCAACCGAGTCCTAGAAATAAGGGAATCAACCATTAGGAACAAGCCCCTCCTCAGAAGTGTGCTGTTTTGTCTCCCCAGGAGAAAGCTGCAGACCTGTGTGCATGTGACTACAGCAGGAGTGTGAGCTGTGCTTAACTAGCAAGTGTGAAATGAAAGTCCTGGCTGGGTGCCAACAATTGGAGGAGCACTGGGGGGGAGGTCAGTCTGGAGCTTCCCCCAGGCAGCACTCTTCCCTTGACCCTCTTGGGTCTATGGTTTGGTTTTAATTTCAGGTCACAGTTTGAGGGCCACTAGTCAAGCTGGCGTGACCAGTTATAGTATCAGAAAGCATGATGCTCTAACACACCCCAGCTCTTCTGAGCATGTAGCTCAGTAGGTAGAATGCCTGCTTAGCATGTGCACGGCCCTGAGTCCTCATCACCACAACATAAACATGGCACAGAGGTGCCTACCTGTAAGCCGACACTCTCATCCTTGGCTACCCAGTGAGCTCAAGGCCAGCCTGTGACATGAATTCTTGTCTTGAGGCAGCGGAGCAGGAGGAGAACAGTGAGAAGGCCCAGCAGATACAGGCACCTGTCATCAACTTGGATGACCTGAGTTCAACCCCCCAAATCCTACATAATGGTTGGACAGCACTGAGACTCAACTTGCCCTATGACCTCCACAGAAATGCCATAGCATGTACGTACCTACATACAAACACATAACACACCACAGAACACACATACACACCTACACCGCACAACATACAAAATAAAAATGTAATGAACTTTTGAACCTATCCTGACACTGGCTCTATAGATCAGGCTGGCCTTGAACTCACAGAGATCTGCCTGCCTCTGTGCATGCACCACCACTGCCTGGCCCAAGAGTATGTCTTCAATCCTAATGCTGGGAGATGGAGACAGGTGGGTCCTGGGAGTCACTGGCCAGTCAGTCTAGCTGAATCAGTGAGTTCTACTTTCAGAGAGATAGAGACTGTCTCAAAAAAAGGGAGGGGGGGGGGTAAAAAGTGACAGAAGACAACAAGTGTTGACCTCTGGCTTCAACAAGCACCTGAACACACACACACTCACAGATGCACAGGTTAGTAGACCTGCACACATGTGTAACAAATAAGTTAGTGCACACACAGAGAAAAACAATCAAAATAGAAAAGAAAGAACTCTGCTTAGTCTCTGGCTTACATATGCTTGAAGAATTTAAATTCATAATCTAAACATGAGAACACAGCAGTGAGTCTCACACACACACAAACACACACACACACACACACACACACACACACACACACACACACAGGCGCAAGCGCGCGCCTCCCTCCCCATGCCTGGCTGGCCACTCTTTCCCTCTTGGCCGGGGTCTCATGAGCCCGTCACTGCCCTTCCCTCCCATATGTCAGCTGTTTCACAGGCCAGGCACCATCTGGGAGCCAAGTGTCCCGTAGCCCTGACTCCCAACACTCACTGGCTCCCCAGTGCCTTCCTAATCAAGTGATCCCTAGTGTCCACCAGATTCTACTGTTGCCAGCTCAGAAACTTGAAAAAAGCAGGCACGATAAGGTTCTGGATAAACAAATATTTTGCTGACGAGACACCATCTACACTAATTTACAAAGAGTGATAACTGCTATCAAGAGACCAAAGGGCTGATCATAAAAATGCTTGCCCAGCAACAGCCTTTGAACTGGTATCTCACCCCATGCATGTAGCATGAAGCTTTGGGGGTAAACCCAGGATACTGTCTGGGGGTGGGGTGGGGAGTGGGAGCATATTTTGTTTTTAAGGTTTATTTATTTCTATTTTCTGTGCAGCATACTTAAGTGTCCAAGGAGGGCATTAGAGAGCACTGGATGCCTGGAACTGGAGTTAAGATGGTATGAGCCACCATGGGAGCTCTGAGAACTGAACCTGGGTCCTCTGGAAGAACAGACAGTGCTTTTAACCATTGATCCATCTCTCCAGCCCCTGAAGCATATTTTAAAAAGAATTATTATTCCTCTCTGCCTTTTATGTATTTATTTATTAGCTTTTTGAGACAGGGTTTCTCTGTGTAACAGCTCTGGTTGTCCTGGAACCAGCTCTGTAGACCAGGCTGGCCTCGAACTCAGAAATCCACCTGCTTCTGCCTCCTGAGAGCTGGGATTAAAGGTGTATGCCACCAACACCGGGCTAAAGTGTGTTTTTTTTTTTTTTAAGATTTTATTTATTCATTTATTTATGTACACAGTGTTCTGTCTGCATGTATGCCTGCCTGCCAGCAGAGGTCATCAGATCTCAATACAGATGGCTGTGAGCCACCATGTGGCTGCTGGGAATTGAACTCATGGCCTCTGGAAGAGCAGTCGATGCTCTTAACCTCTGAGCCATCTCTCCAGCCTGAACTGTGATTTCTTAATGGACCCAAGCTAAAACATGAGAAATCAAGAGCCAGGGCTATTTCCTTTTATGATTGCTATAAACCTTGGGAATGGATTATTTAGAAGAATTTATAGATGTCAAACCAGGACTGAGTTTAGAGCTTGGTCGGTAGAGTACTTGCCCAACATTCACAAAGTTCTATGACAGCATCTCATTAACCAGGTGTGTCACATGCCTGTAATCAAGCTGTAGTACTAGGAAGATGGAGGACGAAGGATCAGAAGTTCAAGACAATCTTCTGCTCTATACTGAGTTCTAGACTAGTGTGAGATACATGGGATCCTATCTCAAAAGTTTAAAAATAGTAAAAAAGCAAAGAAGTAAATTAAAAAATCTCACTTTTAACAAATCACAATTCAGCCAGGCATGGTGGTGCACACCTTTAATCCCAGCACCTTGAGAAGCAGAGGCAGGTGGATCTCTGAGTTTGAGGCCACCTGGTCTACAGAGAGACTTACCTTGGATTCACCCCCCCCCCATTTTGGTCTAAAAAGCAACCCCTTCTCTGTGATTACATTACAGCCCTAGGACCACCCATGCCCCACTCCTGTGACAGTTTCAACTTCCCTAAATCAATGTCATGAAGTTAACACAATAAGCATTCCTGTATTTCCTAGATTAACAACTAACAACTCTGGGCAAACCCACCCTCAGTCCTTTGAGCAACCCACCTCCCCATCCCAGATAAAAACCCTAGCCACTGGGAGACGTTCAGTCTCCTAATAACAACCCTTTCAGACTGACTCAGAAGTAAACCTGCCCACTGCCCTTGAATGGCCTCATGCTTGTTTCTTCTTACAAGAGGGCTTGCTTATCTCAGAATAAATAAATGCAATCACAGTTCTCCCTAGGTACTACAGACGCCACATCTACCTTGATAAGTGCAGCCGAGGGTGGGATTCGAAGAAGCTCGGGGATGTCTTCAGCCTTCAGGACCACAGAGAGCTTTCCTCCTGGAAGCAAACAGAGGAAAGAGCAATAGCTGAGGGAGGGCTGAGGCTTCTGAAGAGATAGGTCACTACCATGACTTCTCCTTAGCCAACTGACATACTTTGGAAAACAAAGTGGCTAACAATATGTTTAAGAGAACATTTTGAGCTTTGTTTGGATTTTTGAGACAGGGTCTCACTGGACTTCCTGGCTTCCTGGCAGTCTGAGTCTGTAGGGCAGCTATGATTGAACTAAACTGGTGTGCCACCATGCCTGACTAAGAGACTGTTTTGTACGAATCAACACTACATACAGAGCACTTGCAAAAATAAGAAT